CTCATGTCTGTTTTCCCATCACCTAGAACAGTACCTGGCACATAGTAGGCACTCAAGATATGGAGCTGATATCAGAAGTCTGTTGCCGATTAATATTAGCCTACAGGAAAGAGAGGGAGAGGGAGGAGAAGAGGGAGAGAGAAGAAGAGAAAGTTATAAATGCTTATACTGACTGTCTCTACATAAAACCAGGGAGAATTCCCTCCAACCACAGAAGATACAACTAAGGCACAGTAAGCTTCTGTCCTTCTGAGTCTCATGTCAGAAATTATGATGCTTCTGTGTTGCTACCAGGAAGCCCAAAGCTTGTGAGGTGGAGCTGCTGTCCAGGTTCCTGGGCCTGTGGTGGACACAGAGAGGCAACAGGGAGAGCCTTGGTGTGGGGCCAGGGAGAAGCTCTCCTGGGAGCATCACTGAGTCCTCACAGAGGTGGCCCTGGATCAGATGTGAACAGGCCCAGGGGCGGATCAGCCTTTTTTCTTCCTGAGTATTAATATGTCAATGACAACAGTCCTGCCAACATCAGTATCACCCCTAACTCTGCAGGCTCTAGGCAGACATCTTTGTTCAGATCAGTCAGCAAACATTTAGGGAGTCATTGCTTTTTCCCAGCGTCATGCAAGTATGTGGGGATTCAAGAGGAAATCTCATATTTGCATCTCACTAAATTTAGCACGTACAGAGGACTCTCGCGTGTGTTGTCTATTTCCTCAACAGCCCTGTGGCACAGATGTTGCTGATTGACTTGTTAGACAATTGAGAGACGAAGGGCAAGAGAAGTAACTTGCCCGCGATAGAGTAGAACTACGGGTGCGAATCATCTGGCGTGCATCCAATATTCATCATCAGCAGCATTATCATTTGAGTACTCACTATGTACCAGAAATTATACTAAGCACTGTACATGTATTTTCTCATGTTATTTCTCATACAACCTTTCGAGGGAGTTGGAATTTTAACCCTCGTTTTATGAGGTGCAGAAATAACAAATAACGTCGAGGTGGAAACTTTTGCCAGTTCTCCCAACTCTTAAATGTCTGAGCCTGTTTTGAACCTGGCAGTCTGGCTGCAGAGGCGGCACTGCTGATCCTGTTCCTCACCCCATTCCCCCAGCCGGCCCACGCTGGGTGGGTGGGCGGCAAGACAATGCAGGGCGGTTCCCCAAAGAGTAAGGGTGGGACCTGCTGCAGGAATTCAGAGATAAGGGGGTTCAGTGTGGGGTCACCCAGGAGGGCTTGGGAATGGATGAGCTTGGCTTGGGTGGTCCTGGGCACCACATATCCAAGGGGTGAAAAAGAGACTGACGGGCCAGACGTGAGTGCTGGGTCCAGGCCAGGAGCCTGGGTGAGACGGCGTGGGGGAGGGGAGGGGCAGAGGGCCGGAGCCGGAAGTACAGTGACAGCAGGGTACAGTTTACTCTTACTGTGCACCCCCGTTACCTTTGGGAGGCAGTAGCTTAATACTCAGAAGCGGGCGCTGCTGCGTTGATCCCAGGGCCTTTATTCGGTTGTTTGTTGCAGGCATGCGCCCCTGGCAGGACTGTGGAGTCAGCATGGGGCACAGGACAGGAAGGGGCCAGGCGCTCCTTTCCGACTTCCACCCACTGCCTTTTCCCTTCCAGCTTGAGGCCCAGCCCAGGTCAATTGAATACAAAGGAGCATGCACAGTTCTTATTTCCCACAGCTGCCAAGTCACTTCCTTCGACAAAACAAAAGTAATTAGCTCTAGCAATCACAGATCTGCACCGGCTTTCCTAACGGGGCCTGAAGGACCTCAGAGGTCTCCTGGTACAGCCCTCATCTGATGCACGAATTGCTAGTTGGTTCGAGGTCTGTTTGCACATCTCTAGGGAGGAAGAGCTCACCATACTTAAGGCAATTCTGGTGGCTTGGGCTCCTCCAGTGAGGCGTCTGCCAACCCCAGCTATCAGTGTATCCTTATCAGTCTAGCTTCAAGATTTAATACCTTGCAAGTAGCAAATAAACCTCACATATACTTATTTCGCAAATGTTTGGTGCATGTCGTTTTCAATAGGCATTTTCATTAGTAAGAATCAATCTCTTTACCTTTAGAATACCACTTTAAAGGGGGTCCCAAATTATTCGTGTCCTGGGGACATCCACCTGAACTCTGTGGCCCTGAGCAGATATGCAGAGGCCAGAATGTGAAGAATTTGTGTGCAGGAGAGGTTTAGGTCTACAGCCTGAGAGGTGGTATTGAAAGATTTTCGAGCTGGGAAAAACACGATCAGATTTGTGTTTTAGGAAAAAAAAATTTTTTTTTGATAACAGTTTGGAGATTATCTGGGGGAAAATTTAGCCAAGAGGGAGGGAGAGGAGGTGGAAGGCTACTGAAATGATTGAAGTAACGGACAGCAAGGCTCATCGTGCAGGCTCTGGGGGACGGTGCAGCTGGGAGAGACTTGATGGGCAGGTGGTGTTGGGTGGGGAGTCAAGAGCGTTCCTGTGGTTCAGGCTGGGCTGGGTGGTGACATCACTCGCCCTGGGAGACTGGAGAAAGAGCCTTCACAGTTATGAGACACCAGAGAGGCACTGATGCTGCGGGACGTGGGGAAGAGCTTGCCGCTGCCTCAAGTCTCCCATGTGGGCTGATTGCGGCTGAGACTTCAGTCTCTCTGCGGAGGTGGTTTTTTTTTTGTCGTTGTTGTTTTGTTTTGTTTTGTTAGTGTCAGAATTCCAAGAACAAGTGTCTGTTACAGGGATTTTCTCAGAATGCTATGATTTTCATTCAAGTTCTAACTAGAAATTCCAGCCTCGAACCACACACAGACAACTTGGGAACCTTCAAAAGTCTGTGAGCAGGAAAGCAGCCAGAAGGAGAGGAGGGCTCAGCACCACTTCCGTGGCAGCGTCTCGGGCACACGGGGCTCCACGCTGGGGTGGCCTGCAGGTCTTCGCCCTGGAGTGGAAGGGCCATATATGAGGAGGGCCAGGAAGGTCCTTCACCTCCAGGCTGGGCTGGAGCAATAGATTCAGAAGGTGGCTGCACGGCTTACTGTGGGGCTACCCTGGTGAGGAGTGAAGTGACCTTGTGGCGGAAATGCCCTGAAAGCTGACCACAGGGAATCCTAACCGAGTCCCTGGAAGACCCCCAGCCCGAGGGAAGGGACGCATAGTTAGGAGCCACGGTAAGGCTGTGGAGTTGGCTCACTCCACCCGAGCAAAGGCCAAGTCGCCATAAGGAAACGAAATCAAGAGCTGTGACTTGACCCGGCTCTGAGTGTGGCTGGAGCAGGGACCTTGGCTCGTGTCCCCAGAAGCCCAGTGGACGCAGGAGCCCGGCCCGCACACAGCCTTGGGACCCAACGCTTCTGCAGGCGTCTGCCCTGCTCCTTAGGTGCATCAAAGGAGCGAGCTGCTTCTGCGAGGGGAGACATTCGTGCTGCAGTCTTCAGGACCAGGAATACTTTACCAAAGATTAGCACATCTAAAGCTTTAGGAACCTCGTTGGTTTAAGTGAATGGAAAACAAACACACAAGGGGATCCGCTGTGAATCCGGGAAGACCTGAGAGCTGTTCCAGACGGGCAGCTCCGTCCCCGAACTATGATTCTGTAGTTAGTTCACCGGGGCCAGCACCAGAAAATGCAGTTTGGGGTTTGAAAATATGAACAAGAACTAGCTGCTGAGGAGGTGGGAGCCTTCGTCTTCCCCTTCCCTGTACTGGGAATCCCAATGAAGAGAACCCCCACCCATTCTGAGCGTAGGGGACCTCCTTTTCTTCCCCTATTCCCTTCCAAAGCGGGGGGCATCAGGCTTCCTCTCCTGCACCGCTGCAGGTCCCAGGCCCGCCCCCACGGATGCAGTGATCACAGGATGCGGACAAACGGTAAAGCTCAGCGGTCCTCCTCGCCCCGCTCCCCAGGGTCTCAGAGGCAACGAGCCCTCGGCTCTCCCTTCCCACTTTCCCTTGTTTCACAGAAGTGCCACTTCCTGGCGATGAAGAGCCCAAGAAAATCACCTTCTGGCCTCCTTCAGCTTTTCCCATGTCGAGACGAGCCCTTGGGGTGCATGTGGGACGTCAGGTAGTTTCATCCATCAGGTATTATGCAAAGCCAATATGATCGCCCACACGTGGGCTGAGGGAAAGGGCAGTTTATCAAGAAAAAAGTGTCCCGGGGGACTGTACTTCCTAGTCAGCTTGGGCTAAATTCTGCTGAGGTCAGCCCCCTTCCAGCCCCTGCTAATCACAGTGGCTTCTAATGATAATGTTTTATTTCTTACTCAAGTGATACATTTTTTAGAGGCTGGAGACCCAGGTAGATGCCGACACCTTTACCTGGAACACTGCACGTCTCACAGCAGGAGATGTGGCCGGCATAGGCTACCTTGTAAAGCGTCAGTTTATAAACGCACAGGTCACTTTTCCCCCTTCTTTTTCCATTGAACAGAATAAGACATTTGGCCACTCCCGAGTTCAGAGCGGTGAGACACCTAATCTTCTTGCAGGGAGGGATCGCCGCAGGCCAAAGGCCAAGTTCGACGCCAGCGGACAAGACGTGTAACCCTTCCTAGGGCGGGAGGGAGACGGTCAACGACCACGGTGTACATTCTCCACGTCTCCCCATTTCCGCTGAGCATGGTCACTACCCTCCTTACCACCCCGCCCAGGGCCTAGGCCATCACCACCAGGACCTGGAGCCTCCCTCAGGGTCTGGGCAGGTACGGAAGGGAGAGTTCCTGTCCCACCCCATGACTACGAACTTGGAGTCTCCACATCCTAGAATGTGAGAAGACTGGCGCGATTTCCAACACAGGGTGTTGAGGTCGGCGACAACGGAACGGCAGTGTGAGTCAGGTGTCTGCGGGCTGCTTGGGAATTCTCTTCACCGACCTGTAGCTCTCTCAGTGGGCAAGTGATTTCTAAGTTCCAAACGACTGAATATAATATGCTGCCAGGACACAGGCCATGTAGCCCGCTACATCACACACAAAACAAGAAGCTATGAGGCATGAACAGTACCTTTAACGTAGTCTTATATTTGGAAAAGCAGTTTTAAAAAACACTTGAAAATACAAGATAAGGTAACAGTGACTTATATAAGTTTTCACCTTATATTGCTTGACCATTTCTACATATAAATTATTGCTTGCTAGCTTCGATAAATACACAGCACAGTCATATGTACAGAAGCAGAAAGCATGGAAGCTGAGAAAGAAAATACTGTTAATGGCAATTCTGGTAATTCAACCAATGTTTCATATTTACCAGCTCTTATAAGGGTGGAAAACTACAAAGTGTAGTCCCTGAGAAGTTAGGTAGATACCCTGATTTCGGGTTTTCTATCTCCTAATTGTTAACGCAAGCTGACAATGTCACAGCAGTCCTAATCCATCAAACGTTAAAAGGCAAGAGTCCTTGCTTCAGGTCATCGATTTCATCCTGGTATTTAATAACCTTGTAATACGAATACAATAAATAGGCTATGCAAATAAATAGTACTCTGCTAAAAAACGTTTAGTATATACAGCTTTGCTTTATACAGTAGTACATTTTCATCTAACTTTTTGGCAATTTTTTTTTTAAAAAAACTTTGTTCCCCTACTAGTTTTAAGCACAATGGCCCACTCATTAATAAGCAGGCTGAAATTTTAAGGACATGTTTGAAGCATTTAAAAGAAACTCCATGTTACATAACTGCAGTGCCCCTGATTTTCCCCGTTTCAACATTTTTGCCGGGTCCTGAGAAGCTTGGAGTAGTTGTGCCATTTGGAAGCAAGAAGTTTGGGATCTGCGGTGTGTGTGACGGCTATCACGAAGCAGCTGGGACGGGGGCCCGCGGGGGAAGCCCAGCTCTGGGGATCCGAAGCCACTGGTACCCTCTCTCGCATGCAGCAGTTTCTCTCACTCGGAGGCAGGTATGCCTGAGCGCAACGCCTTCTCCCTGCCGACACGGAGGGGTGGGTTTTTATTTTACCCTCGCGCTGAGTTCAGTGTACACGCCACGTGACTTGTCTGCAGATAGCGGTCTAGGAAAATGAATTTATGCTACACAGAATGAACGATACTAGAATAAAGGAAATGCAGGCTGTAATATCACTACAACCATTTGGCAATTGTACAGATTATAACAAAGAGTGAATCTGAAACGCTGAGTCTTTGGAGCATCTGCAAATGTATATGGGGAAAAAAAAAAATTTCGGAAAGGTTGCAATTTTGCCTCTAGGAACTTGTCCTGCGCTAAGTTCTAAGCAGGGCAGGTTTGCTGGGCGTCGATGAACCCACAGACCCGCAGGCCTATCTGAGAGTCGTGCTGTAGCAAAAGGGACCCACTTCAAAGTGCCTGTGCCCCACTTGCCGGTGAAGGGGGCAGATTGCAGGTTTTCAGAGTGGAGCCTTTATGCGATCATAAAATCTAAAAGAGCTGGGAAGGAGCTTAGACGTCTTCCAGCCCACCCTTCTAGCCAGAATAAAACTATTCCAAAGTGGCCTTGGCAAGTATTTGGAGAAGGAATGTGGCCCATCCCTGTCAGCAAGAGCTAAGTCCCCCAACAGCCCCCCACCCCACCTTCCCGCTGGACAGTGCAGAGTCCTTAGAGCTGCGCATTGAGCTAAATCTGTCTCCCATGATTCTGCCTTGAATTCTTTAATTCCAGATTTACGTCTTCTCGGAACTTCTGAAATTTCTGAGAGCTGCTCCCTGGGAAATCTCTGGAGAGGTCATTAAATTTCAGAAAGGTTTGGAGATTTTGACATTCAGAAGATGGGAATGCAAAAGCAAATCTAAACTAAACAAAATCCTCTCTTCTCTTTGCTGGCCTGAGAGCCGCCCAACCACGGCTGAAGGACACGGTGGACACGCAGCATTTTCTCCCCAGCCTGTTCCCACCATACGCTCACTCCACCAATCACAATGTGGTTAAACATGATGTACAGGTGGCTTGTTCAGCCGTGTACGTATCTGAATTCAGGTCTGTGCTGAAATAGTTCTCCACTGGAACAACTGAAATCATTTTAGATGGAACACTGTAGGTCTTATGTGAATAACAATTTAAACTGCAAAACATAAAGACGATGTCAAAAGGGTCTTACACGATTAGACTAGCGAGAAAAGACAAGAACACACGTGTGTGCTGTATGCTCGCTCTGTCCTCAGTGATTGCGAAGCTTTCCCAGTGCTTGATCGGATGTGAGAGACATCTGCCTGCTCTGGTTCCGAGGTTCTTGTCTCCTCCAGTGGGTCTCATTCCGTTTCCAGTAGCCTGGAGCATTTCTGAGTAGAGCAGCCCAGGATGGTGCCTTTCTATAAAATCCTGCTCATTTTCAGATCTGAAGTGTTACATGCTGGGACAGGCTGAAACTCTTTGAAAGTCTTACCAAAAATCTTCTCCCCATGTTTCCTCCCAGCGATTTCTCAAGCTCAGTGGGGTTCCTGAGCCCAGGAAACAACACTGCTCTCAAGGTGTCAGAAAGCATCAGGGAATGAGATGCTGATGAGACAAAAGGGAGCAGCTCTGGACAGGCACCTAAGAGCTGAACAGGCAGGAGTGGTGAGAGCTGCACCAGGATTCGCATGCATGGAAAATGAATGGACCTGATATCTACCTGGCAGGGGTGGATTTCATTATTGTATCCCACAAGGTTTTTGTTCATTTGAAGGTCGAGGGAGTTCTAACCAGTTCTTGAGAATACCAAGAGTCTTATTTACTAGAGGAGGCCTAACCTATAAGAATGGGCATTAAAAAAAAGACTTAAAAGACTGAAAAAAAAAAAAAAAGACACATTATAGAAAGGCTCCCTGTCTTGGTTGGGAGATGAACTATAGGATTTGTAAGTGTCTAATAAAAATCAGACATTTGGCTGTTTTGAAGCTTTCTTAATTTGCTGTAAGACAGGCAATCACCACTATCTTAATACCTTGCTCCTCTCCAGGGAGCGCCCAGTGCTTCACCCATCCAATCCCACTTACCCTCCCTGGACTGGCTGCCATCATCACACCTTTGGGCAAGGAGCCTGCAGAAGACGTGCAAAACACCAGGGCGTCATCAGGCACAGGAACGCAGACCTCTGTGACTCTCTGTCACCACAATCAATAGTTATAGAGTGCCTACAGCGCATTAGGCATTATGCTCTTTCAAAAATCATATTGTTCCCAATAGGAAGTGAGAGCCCATTTGCACGTGTAAAGAAAATCCCTAGAAATTAAACAGTGAGTCACTAAAGATTCCTATTTTTCATTAATGGCAAAACAACTTAGTCTAACTTGCCCATAGTTGCAAACCAGTTGTGCAGAAATGAATTTCACCTCTAAGCAGACATCCATAAGTGATTGTGGATGCAAAGAAATGCATGCCTTGACATTTCTCTTTTGGAAGTCAAAGCATAGATGTCACCTTCTGGTTCTCGCTAACTCCCTAGACACAAGTGGCTTTTGGTGATATCATAGTTTGTACAGATAGAGACCAGTCCTTCTCCCTGGAAATCTAGAGGTGCCATCACTACCTTCAGGTGTTCAAACAAGCTACTTCTTTGACAGCCTAAAAACACACGCTTACTGAAATATTTGGTCACTGTATAACAAGACGTGTTCCCTTGTCTTGACGCTGGCATATCTCAAACTGAAAAACTGGATGGGATCAAAGACATCTGCAGAAGAAACCAGACTTCTCCATTTCAGAATGCTTCTGACTCTTCTGCCTTCTCGTTCTAAAAGCAGCGAGGAGAGGCCTCTCCCCATCTCTGGTGGCTGACATCACTTCCTGAGCACGTTTTGGTTGGCTTTCCCGCGTATGTCTTGCAATTTACTGATAAAACTCAGCAACTTCTTTTCTCACAGGAAAGTGACGTGCTTGGTTGGCATCGACATTTCTGTAGCTCAAAGTGCTGCAGTTACAGGCGAGGCGAGGCGTGGGGCAGCAGGGCTTATACCCGGGGCTCGATCCTGTGTGAGAGCTCAAACAGGGCCTGCTGGCTGTCAATGACATACAGGTGATTAACGTAGGATTTTAACTCCTGGTGCTCTTTTGGAGACATCTCACCTCCTAATTTTTGGAGGGAAAAAAGGCAGTCAATCTCATGAGAGTAGTAATGCTATTTCTAAATACCAGGAAAAACTGACATTAAGGCTTAGAGTAAATCCACTAGGCAGACTCTCGTTAGTCAGAATCGCAGAGGAGATTTCTTTATCCTGACAGTGGAGTTGCTTTTTCACTCAGACTAGGTTCCTCGGGTCAGGTAATTAGACTGGCACTTGTTTTACCAACACTTACACGGCATTTATTCCCTAACATTACATCGTTCGTAGTGACTACATTAGTCTCCTCCTCTACAGAATGAGAAACAGCACAGACACACGGCAAGTGAGTGGCAGAGCAGGACTGAAACCCAGACCTCCGTGGTCTGAGGTCCCATGTCACAACAATTGCCTGTTTAAGTGGCTTTCACTGGCTCTTTATCTCAGTGTGGAACTGTTGAAATCACCGCTAATCTAACGAGTGCATGGACACAACAGCTCTTTGTTGTTGTTGTTGTTGTTGTTGATTTTGTATAATCCTCTGGCGTCCTTATTTTTTGGAAATAAACTAAGGGACCAATTGAATGAACAGATATCATAGAACTGAACTTAAGTTACGGTTACCAGGCGAAATAGGTTCTGAAAGTATCAGATGGGCTAACACTGACCCAGTTAAGGACCAGGCAAGGCGCCTTTCCACTCCCAAGTGCAGGGTGGTTAAAAAATCAAAGGCCACAACACGTGGCTTTGGTGCACTGTGAACGCATATGTGTCACACTGGTGACAGCTCTGATAAGGAAGCAGAGCTAAGGCAGTCTGCACCATGGAGCAAGCCCACTTTCCATAGCCAAAAACATACAAAACCTTCCCCCTCCAAAAATCGCTGCTTACTGGTTTCAAAAAGTAAAAGCACCAGGAGTTAAACTTTTTACCATCCTGCTTGTTTAAAAGTGGCCAAAAAGCTGTGTCATTCTAGAACGTCTTCTCTAGAAGCCACTAAGGGACGACTTTTGGTTTAGTAAATGTTGCTTTAGACAACATGATGCTACAAAGATAATCTTGTTGTTAAATTTTTGGCCTTAAAAAGATGATAGAATGACAACTGACACCTGCATGCACTTTATAAGTGGTTTGATTAACACTATTTTATTTCAAATGCTGAGATTGGTTTACTATGCCTATATAAACTATCAAAATGAATTTAGATAATGAGTCCCAAACCCAATTTTTAAAGATACAGAAATACAGAACACAAACAGGTCTGAGAATTATTTAAATTTCTCCTTTGCTTTGTGCTATGAAGACTTATTCTCTGGTGATGGGAGGTTCAAGACAGGGTCAAAGCCAGACAAAACAGTGTAACCTTCCCGTCCACACTTGCCGTATATATAAACCACAGTCCCTTGGTGAGACTGAGGTCTTAGAATTAGCTGAGCACCTGTAAATGCTTGGGAAGCAAAGGAGGATGGAAGAAATATGAACTTGTCAGTAACATTAAGCTAGCACAATTGAATGAATCTCCGTGACAATGTTATCACTGCATTGTACTTGTGTACTTAATGGAGAATCATGTAAGTACATACCAAATGGTATTAATTGGTGTGAATATTTAGAAAATCAAGTCCTGTATTTATAATTCTTGTTTTCAAACAGCAACTTTGTAATTCATACAGAAGTTCAATTGCTTTGTTGGGGGACAAAACTGCCAGCCAAGACCACCTCAGATAGGAAAAAGATTCTTAAGAATATGCACCTATCCTCAGGAAGTGGGACTTTGATTTTTCTTTTCTCTCTCTCTCTCTCTCTCTCTCTCTGCTCAGACAGGAAAATGATTCTTAAGAATATGCACCTATCCTTAGGAAGTGGGACTTTGATTTTTCTTCTCTCTCTCTCTCTCTCTCTCTCTCTCTCTCTGTATTGTTGAAAAAATAGTTTTACAGTGAGGATGCATTATTTAGCAAAGTAAGTTTTACTCAGTGGTTACCTTTGATTGATTTATAATTACTGAATTCAACTTTCTGTTTTTTAAATTGTCCTTTATATCTATAGAATCTACACAAGGCAAAGGAAAGGGTATGGGCCAGGAAGTTAGACTTGGTTTGAATAATGGTTGAATGAGGTCACCTTTCTGAGCTGCCTCTGCTCTATACCCATAGAATTAATCTCTGTTCACCAATCACCAATACTGGTGTCCCCTTGGCCATGTGAAAGCTCCTTGAACTCAATAAGGTTGATTTCCTTCCTTCCTGCAATGTTTTAACATAATGTAAACATAATGTAAATTATGCCTGAGATTTAAAAAGGAACAATATTCTTATACACATTAGTCTCAGTGGGGAGTCTACGAAAGTGCTCAGAAAAATACTTTCTCAGTGAAAGGCAGCTCCAGACAGGAAGTTTTTGTTGGAAAGGAGGAAAGATCCTGGAAGGCTGTGCTAGGCACTTTTACGAACTATATTCCTGTTCCAGGAAGGCTTCAACCAAGGAGGTTACGGGCCGTGTCACCCCTGATAAACTCACTGGTAACTCTGCGCCAATGGGCAAGCAAACAAGACTTTCTAGGTTGGGGTGAGGTGGGAGATTCCAATTGTCCGAAGTCACTTGGTACAGTGTGAACCTGCTGCCATGAGTCGATAGAAATCTGCCGTAACTTGTCTTCCTCTGCATCTCAAACACACGGCGATAAAACAAGGGAGAACATAGTATATGCACACAATGTGCATATTATACTTTATAATCCGTTTAAAGTTATTTCTACCAAATACTTGTGACATGGTCACAGTCCGTACCACTGTATGGTAAATTTACATTTCACGCTGACTTCAATTACTCACCAAACTGGTTAGTCCTGCAGTGTCTCAGCGTTCGGACAGTGTCTGCAATCATATGCTGGAAGGCAGAGCGGGAAACATATCAGTGGATGATCATTTAGGGTGTTGCTGAAGCAGCGTGCCTGCTTGGAATGAAGGATATTCACAACCTTGGGTGTAATTTGGAGCTGGACTTAACTTTAATTGATAATATTGAGCTTAATCCTGGTCCACAGAAACGGTGGCTCCCAAACCTGGTTGCACGGCTTCTATCTGGGCCACGGGAAAAACACTGCAAAGAAATGCAGCTCTCCCACGCCCCCTGTCTACCTGTCCGAATTTGCTTTGGCTTTTCACTACAGGGGATGTTTCGCCTTCTCTCCACGAGGCCTGAGATCGCCCTTCTGAACTTGGGAGGCACCATTCTCAACGTTCTCACTGTCTTTGTACAATGCAGACTGGCTTTGTGTTGTAGTTGCTGTGGAAGTTTTCTCCTCCTCTAGACCAGGTGCCACCAGAGGACTTTGCATGCCCGGCACCTACTGTGTATCACACACGTTGACTCACACACGCTTGCTAAACAGAGGTAGGACGTTTTGTGGAATTAAAGATTCAAGTATCTCAAATGGTGACAGGAAGTGAGACAGTCATGAAAGACACACATTTTCTAAAACGGCCAAATCTTTGCAAAGGTTGTTTTCCGTTTGTAATTTACCTTCCCTGCTATAGTCTTCAGTGTTCTACTTTAATTTCTTTCTTTAAAGTTCTCACTGATCTCCAGGCAAAACTGTTCTTAAACTCACAGCTACTTTTGACAAGCTCCCATCACCTCGTACTTATGGACCTGCAACCACCTTCTGAGCTATATCATTTTCGATTTTCCATGATGAAGGAAAGAGAGCATTCAGGGCAAGACCATCCTTCACTAGAGTTCCTCCTCTATGGCTGCCAGAGTAATCTCCACACACTGTCCCAGTCCTGAGGAAAATCTGCAGTGACTCCCTAATTGGGTTCACATCAAAATCTAAACATCGCCCTATTATTCGAGAACCAACATTGTTCATTATCTGGTGCTTCAAACATCCCCTAGGGAGTCAACACCTTTCGTGTCCCCCACACACACAGGAAACACAAGCCTGTTCATACGCAGCACACTCTCGGTAAATTATTGCTAAAAAAAATGTTAATACTAATTTTTTTTTACTTAAAACTGGCAGAACTACAGAAACTGTATTTGAACATGACTCATGTATTAAATTGTTCTCACAGCTGTATTTTTACTGTATTTCTACTCAATAGTGGGAAATTAAATAGGACAGTGGTTATAGCAGTAGTTCGAGTTGCATTTGTCAAGGAAATGAGACCTGACTCATGTCTGCGAATGTATTGTTAAATTTCCTTCCCCAAATTTGCCACTATTCCCAGGACAGTTCCCTCGTTGTTTTAGGCTATGGCGTCACGTCGATTTCTATCATATGCCATTTGCGCAGCTCATGCAAGGCCTGAGCTGATGCAAGACCCAGTACTGCGTGCAGCTTTGAAACCTGAGTGCTGATCCTCATTTGTAGGTCTTCTGCAGGGGGAGAGAGTGTGATAAAAGATGATGCTCTTAATGTTGAGGGGCAAAGAAAAAGGGAAAGCATTTATTTCTTTACTATTTCACAGTTTGAGACAGAAACACGTAGAGTTGCTGAGGCAGCAGAGGGAATGATGGAAAATCATTTTAGACTCAATAAGATTTCTGAGTTTTCATGTCATCTGACTTAACGTGTTGGCCTGTGTCAGCCAGATAAAGATAATGCACTGAATTATCTGCTAGCTGGCTTAAGCTAATATCCATCATGAGGAACTGGCTCCTCACAAGTTAATTCAGTTACATTCTATGGGTTCATTATTGTGAAAAATGATCCTGGTTTTGCTTAAGTGGAACCCTGTCCTTTGCTAAGAAACATTCCTCGAAAATACTGACTCTGCTAGGTAATTCAATATCATTCTCTGCATCCAAGTATAACACGGGGCTGTGTATAATATAAAATAGATCTCTGTCCTTCTAGAAAATTTCAGCTTCACCCCATCTTCTCTGTGCAAGGAGGGGGTCAGTGTGAGGTGTGCTGGATCTTAAGTGCCATATGCTTTGAGGACCAGAAACACAATGATAATACAAAATCTACTCTCTTCAGAAAAGACGTGCCAGCGCGTGCCTGCTATGCAAGTGCATGTACTTATCTGCTAGTCGCCCTTCTCATAAATGTTTTCTGCAGGAATTTAAAATAGAATATTACTTATTTATGCCATGCTAGTTCCTGAAACTTTCTTAAAGCATGAAGGATACAGACAATTATTGGCCCCACTAGAAGCACTATCAGGTAGACTTTCTTTGTTTCAGTCCCAATGGTTAGTTTGAAGTCTTGGCATATATGAAAGCAGGACCTTGGACTACATTAGCTGGAATCAAAAGGCTTCTACTGGGTCACTGGGGAGAGGAGGGGGAAGGCCAGAGATGCTGGCCAGGATGAAAGGGAGAAGTGTGCAGGGATCTTTCCGTTGCTCTTTCCCACGGGTGCCTTTATCGAATTGTTCTCTCACGCTGGTGGCACTATCTGAGGGAAAATTATGCAGTGAACTTAATCAAACCACTGGCTCACTTCAGAGACGAAGGTCGGCCACCTGTCTGCCTTTAACAACAGACAAGAGTCAGCTTATAGGAGCACAACTGTTCTCTCGCGTCCCCTCTGGTCTGTCACAGGGAAAGTTTCTAGACCTTTATAGGGGATTCCACGTGGCGTGCCACGCCTCATCCCACATCTTCGCACGTGCTCTCCAAAGCTTATCTGGCGTTCTTAACCTGATGTGTTGGCCAGGATTTGAAGTAAACGTGGACCAAAGGCTTCATATTCCTGCAATCATTTCATGAACAGCAAACATTGGGGATTAATCTGCCTAGAGACCAGTTAGTGCCTACAGCCTTTGGCTGCAAACCAGTGCCCTGCTGTGATCTTCAGAACATTACATAGCAACAAAGAACAAATCTCTAAAGAAAAAGAACAAAAAAGCCAACACTTGAACCATTTCCAGCTGTGATGGTTTGACTACAGTAACTAAAATAACTGAACTCTGATTCCAAAGCACTTAGTGCCGAGAGAGACTTGAAAAGTTATAGGCATATCCACTTTAAAAATAACTCGCCATAAAGCAATGATTAAAATGGACCTATGGCGAGATGTTCTAAGACATCTGTCTTCCGGATACTAGGCGCTTGGGTTTTCAAGCTGTACAGTGGTCCTGTGCTGTCTCAACCTCTATATGGTGAGTTAACCTGATGATTAGAACAGGACACTCATAAGGCAAAGGTCAGATGCCAAACCTCATTTGGATTCACTGGTTTGTATTGTTCTTTGGTCATGGTCTGCGGCCCCCGCCTCACTCAGCTTTCTTCCAAATGCCTGACCCAGTCACACAGGGGACCAGAGGTCAGTTTCTGAGAGAGTTCACACAAATTCATTACCATCACTAAAAAGGTCACTTAAAGGTCAGGATCTATGGACAGGGGTCACTGGCATCATTTTGAACCATGAAGGATAGTTTGATCTCTGACTAAAATTCATCTGTCAGAAATCTATTCTTCTCACCGTCCACTGGGTCTCTCTGGAGCACTCCTGTTTTACACGTGCTCAGTGCTTACAGGCACTTCCCCCTCTGCCCTAGGAGAAGGCTGGCAGGAAAGGCTGGGAGGAGTCCACTGCAAGACAAAGCCCCTGGGAATGTCCTGGGAATAATTCAGGAAGAGGCATTTCAGTAACTTGTAAGAAAAGACTGACCAGGGACCCCTTTCTTGTGGGCAAGGGGGGGCACTTTGTAGGCTCTCTCCACATTGGCACCATCTGTCCACAGGCTGATAAAAGGGCCGTCCCTCCTCTCAAATGCAGACCCTACGAATTCTACCTTCATATCCAAGCTGGGAGTATTGTGGGGTGGACACATCTCCCCAGAAGGAAAGCTTTCTCCGGTGCCTGGGAAGCAGTACACATCAGGACAAAGACAGAGATGCCTTTACAGCAGTAAAACTGAACCCCGAGAGCATGAGTGCCTCCTGACAAGGACCTTTATGGTTTTATTTATGGTTCAATAACATACACTCAATTGCTGATGTTAGTCTAATGAAGTTCCATTTTTCAAAAATAAAACGCAGATTTTTATATTTGGTTCTCCAAAACTTGCTAGCATACTTATTTTTAATTGGAATACATTTTATTGACAATGCACAACATGCAGCAAATAAGCTCCTGGAAATCACCATGCATTCAATGGAGAAAAAGGCTTAATCCATTTGTTTCTTGGAGCAAGAAAGAAATGCGTAGAAATAATGAAGTTTACCTACCAGCTTTTCAAAATTGACCAGATTATCCAAAAATGTCTTATTCCCTTCATGAATAAATGTTACATCTGAAAATTAAAAACAAAAAGATATATGTACCATTAGAAATGGATCATGAATCAGAGCTGACAAGGTCTAGATGCAGTGCAAGTTATTAATTTTTCTTAAACATTAGGGATTATTCCAGGCATATGAGAAGGCAATTCGAAACTGAATCTGTATATTACTAGAAGTGAAAGGGCATAATTTATAGGTGTGTGAGGAGGAAAAATTATATCATTAATGCAAACATGTATTTTGCACTTACGCTGAAGTGTATGACTTTGACCTGCTTCATATAAACTAACGCTATTCCATAACTTAACCAGTCCATTACGTTTCTAGGCCAGAACATTGAGCAGAAAAGAATATCCAGGAACAATAGGATTTTAATATCTACGTGTTTGTTTTTTAAGAATCCCTGGTAAATTATAGGGAACCTGCCTTACTTAAAATGTTCATATTTAGATTTAGATGTTTAAATTAAGATTTTTGGTTCTCAAAGCCAGTGCCTGATTTTTGTATCAGAAGTGAGTGAGGAAACACACAGGTTTGAAAACGGCAATGTTTCTGACACAACCGAATCAGAAGAAAGTGTCACTGATGAAAATAAGCTAAGGAAAGTAGGACGAAGGTACATTATCGGAGGAGGGAAAGTTACATTTGGTTTGAGCCTCGCAGCATTTAAAGTGACAGAAGATATGGAAATACAAACCTTTTTGGTTGCAATAAACACGAATGCCTCCTCAGGAGAGAGAGATTTGGGAATTAGTTACAATAAAAACAGCCGCTAAAACTCTGGGAATGGATGACGGAATCTCAGATCGGAGAGCCAATGAGTGAGTATTAATTAGGGAATCCACATAGACAAGAATCAGAGTAAGAAATATATTACAAACAACTTGAAGAGCATGAAAATAATCATGTTATAGCACAGACACAGAGGGCCACCAAATGAAAATAATTTTCAAAAATCGATTAAAATAACCTGATGTATAAGAGGGAAAAGAATAGCTTAAAATTCCAACAAATAGAAAGGGAAAGCATTTGTACTTAATCAAGACTTAATTCTGCCGGTTCCCACGGGGGCAATTATGAGCTAGGTGCTCCATAGACCTGCCTACAACACACTCGTCCACCTAACTTTGACTTCCCGCCAGGGGGCGACACTGGTTACATAGTTTACAGGACACACTGATGAACTTCCCCAAAGGCATCTCTTACGTAGCTTCCAGAAAGGACTGCAACATTTCCCTGTGCTTTTTTCTTTTCATTTTCTTTCTTTCCTTCTTTCTTTCTTTAACTGATATCCTAGCAGGAAAATAATTCACAATTACACCATCACCTAACAAACTATCTGATTATTTTATTATCTTTCGTAATTTTGCTTGCAGAAAAGAATGATAAGTTTTCATTCTGTGACACAATATTTAGGAAAGAGTAGTCAACAGTTATTTTTTTACCTTTCCGTATAGCAAATAAAGCACCATGTGCACTCCATCTACGTTAAACGCCACCTGGAAACCTAGTCTCCCCTAATTCTCTGAGAATTTGGATTACAAACGCCCTCTCAGAGTCCATTTCCCTAGCGTTACAAGGTTTGTCATCTTCTTCCTATGCTCCCGAGAATGACGATGCGGGGTGATGGCAATAATGACAGCTTATGTTTACTAACAGCGTCAGAAATGGCATTAACTCATTTAATCCTCACAAAAAAAAACTCTCAGGTAAAGCTCTAGCAGGAAAGAATGTGAAGAAACTCTGGTCCAAAGAACATGCACAGCTGACCCATGATCACAGCACTAAATGTCACAGCCAGGATTCGAACCCAGGGCGCCAGTTTCCTCTCGCCACTGTGTCTCTCTGGGGTTTCACCAGCTGAAAGGACCTGGACATTTCTTACAACCTGTTATAGTTAATTTGCTGAATTTACGGCCTAGGGGGTGTCTTTGTAACTCTTAAAAGTGTTTCCTTCATCACTCCCTTCATCTATTCCCTCCAGCCCTAGGTCTCCTGTCTTCCTGGGTGGTCTCATTTAACCTCAACTCTCAGGGACTCCATCAGGTCAGCCGATGAGGATGGCTGCTCTTTTGATGGCCCAGGCTGTCAGGCTGGTGCTGGCCTGAGGATAAGACAGGGAAAGTGCGTCTGGCCAGGTGGGGAGGGAGGAGAGGCTGGAAGAGGCTGCCGCCCAGGAGAAGGGGGATCAAGTGGCTGAAGATTTTGACACAGTTGAATGGCAGGTGTGAGAGAGAGAAACCAACAGGTGGTTGAGCTCAAAAAATGGGATCTTAGAACTTAAGTTGCAGGCTATGGAGTAGTTCAGGTGCGAGAAAACGAGCACCTACGAGGCCCCTTTCATCTGGAGATATCTGAACACACTCCGAATGCTCCCTGGAATAGAACTGCCGGGTGAGATGACTCCGTTTGAAGAGATGGCAAGTAAAAGGGGAAGAAGAAACCTACAAACACCCCGTCACTCTTTTTATTTAAATATCCCAACAAAACTGCAAGAGTAATCTCCACTTTAAGATACGTACACAGCCCACCATGAAGACCTCAGTTTATCTTCAAACATCTGTTGATTATTCATTCTGTTGGAAGGGACTCCCATCTCCAAAAACACCACTAGATACAGACTATTTGGCTGCTCAGCTGCGTCCTTTCCCTGACACTTACTTAGGGTTGCCCCACTTTCTAATCGGATACCACACCACTGTTCAGGGCAGAATAAATCAAAAGGCAAGAAATTCAACTGGAAAACAGGAAAGCTGATGGCTGCCAGGATCCTCAGGTTATGTTTTTACTCACTAATCTGCAGGCTTCCTGGGCACTGACTACCTCAAAGAATGAAACATGGGAGACCTAATCCTCTTTGGCACCCAAGGAGTTCAATTTGGTCCTTCTCGTCTAGGTAAAAGCAACCCAAAGTAGGAAGCACAAGGGAGGGGTGGGGAGAGTTTTCATTAAAAAGTTAGTTCCTCCAAAGTGGTTTATTGCAACTTTTGCAATAATTTTGCATTAAAAAGCCTAAGAATTAATATTTAGTTTTTCCAAAATGTCTTATCTAAGGCATGATAATATACATATTTCAAATTTTCATCCTCTTTTCCTTTGGAAGTTATTTCAGACAAAAATGGTAACTTGAAATACAATAGAGTGTTAATGATGTTTATTTTTATAATGACAAAAAATTTAGGTAAAGGACAAATAGGTGCTTACTTAAATTCAAGAAAGCATCTAATGGAAAAAATGTTTAATATACTAGAGCAAATTTTTACTAGAGTAAATGTATTTTCAGGAGAAAAAAAGGAAAATTTGTTGTGCTGCCAACAAAAAGGTCTAGAACTCAGAAGAGTAGAAAATTGCATACAAGCTAAAGATGTGTGAGATACTGGGCTGCATTAAACATTTTTTGGGGGGAAAACAACTAAAATATAGCAGAAAGCTTTACTCCTATCTAATTAAGATCAAGGGGCACTGCCAGCTAATTTCTTATTACTTTAAAATTTTTTATTGTTTCAGAATTTTTAATTCCTAACATCAATTCCTTTCCAAGATCTGTCCTCACTTCTTACTTTTTCTATTTGACACTAAATGATTCTAACGTTACTTCCCACCTGCCACCCCTACTCTCCAGCTGAAGGGGTTTTATTTTGCAAATAAAAATATAAGCCTCAAATTTATCTTCAAAGGAAATAAATATGAAGCATCAAATGAATTTTTAAATTGTTCCTTTGGCATTACAATCTCTCCTCACTTCATCCAGCTTGAATGAAGTAACTGTGCACCTCTGTCCTACTATGTTATTATTTCACAGAGATTCTTGCTTTATACTAGATGAAGACTAAATGCGTAGGCTGCAGGCATGCACAGCAGCTCAGTAATTCTCCAAGCTCTGGCTGTTCTTGCGAGAAGCCTAGGAGGGAATATCAGCTTTATTGCCAGTGGGGCTGGTAAATGGGGGAAGGGGGAGGAGGAGGATGACCAGGCCAACCAGTAACCCAGTTCCTAGGTAAACTCATTTCAAAAATCACACGTATCAGTCCAGTCATTGGTGCCTGACCCAGCAGAAGTGACAAGCCTCTGAAGGGCAAATGCTATATAAAAGAGTATTCCTATAAAATCCCTTGGAAAGGATCAAAATATGGCTAAGAAAACTGACCAAATCCCTTTTTGCTGGAAAGCGCGCAGGTACAATGTATACCGAATGTCAGGAGTGCACGCCAGATTAAAATGAATTCCTTTGGTTTGAAGGAGACCACTGGGATCCCGTTAGTAAATTTAACTAACATGTTTCATGATGAATTATTAGCTGTTCTACAGAAAAGTCAGTAGACTAACATGGAGCTGTCACTTACTTTCCCAAATGTGTTCCACTCTGAGAAAGAAGAACGTATGTTTCTCGACCAGTAATATCCATCCACTATATTACCTGTGTTAACCAAAGGTATTTCTCACACAGCAGCAGGCTGTGGGCTGTATCTCTGAAACTTAGGTTGCAAACGTAGTGCATGATCAATCACTGTTTTGGTTGTTTATGCCAACCTATTCTTGGTTGGATTGTAAACTCAGAGAAAATAAAACAGCGCTTAGAAGCAGAGTAAAATAAAAACATGAAAGTTTTCAGTGCTAACTTTTGTGAGTCAAGAGAAAATGCTTTGATGGTAACTCGAGTACAATTAAGTATTTTAGGTACCTCAGAAATAACTGAGCATTTGAAAACAATCACAAGCAAACACAGTAAGATCTGAATGGCAACATTAAAGAAATAAACCGAGAGCCCTTTTTTTCTTTTCAGTCCTCTATAATTATAATGAGCCATTTCTGGAAGATGAAATTATACAGCATAAAAGAAAAAAAAAATCGTTACCTTTAAGCAATAAGGGCATGAAAGGGATTTTAGGTGGCTTCATCTTTTTGAATGCATCTCTGTAGGCTTTGTGATTCAGGGAAGGATCCTGCCAAACCAAGCAGATTACAAAGAGAAAGAAAAATCAATGTGCCTTAGAAACAACTCTAAATCCACTTTTGCTATAATACTTGAACACGATTTAGCTATCGAGAGGATCTTCCTAAGAACTAAGTAGATAAAGGTTTCCTTGGAAAATAAACTCACTAAATTAGGGCAGGAAATCGAGGCAATGAATAAAAGCCAAGTTATTGGTTTACAATAATGGGAAATGACTGCAAAAGAGAGACACTTTTTGATTGCCCTATTATTTTCCTTAAATGGGTTCTTTAAGTACAGTTTCCTCTGCATAATTTTGATCATGAGGTAACCCCAACGTATTTTGTTAGGCACACTGCAAACCAGCCTCACAGTGCACAGACAATGCAGAGTAAACAAGAGAACACTGTCTTACTGCATTCGGAAAGAAACGATACATTTTCTATCTAAACCTAAGAAATGGTAAAAAGGAGAAAAATGAAAAAAATAATGCCTAAGACACCGACTACGCACTAAGTTAATACCAATTAATTTTGCGGGTTTTGAAATGGACTATACTAAAAATCTGCCTTCTGAAAATCGTACCAAAAGGTCCATTCTCACAACATTTTTCCATGAAGAGGAGGAAGCCCTGACCATGAACTTGCTTCAGTCCATAAGAAGCAAAGCTAAACTTTCCTATCCAAGTGAATTCTACATGACTTGATAGAGTACAGATACCGACCCCTGGAATCTAGAAGGAAATTAGACACTAGAGATTAATTTGAAGAATAAGCCCCATCTGGCTCAACAACTTACTGTTAAACTTTCAAGTTCAGAGAAAAGTTTCTTAAACTTCCCAGGGATTTTCTAAAAACAAAACCAAAAACAAACAAAAAAGAAATGGTTAAAGAAGTCAGTTATTTTGAGGGGCAACGAGGGGAGTTTTGATTAAGTTGTGCTTAGGTGTGTCACGCTTCTAGACATAAAAACACCTATCATTTGGTTGTACCCTAATTGCTTCTCATGAGGCAATTTTCATCATCCTTTAATGTGACATTCCTTGCGAATGTGGCTAAAACAGTTTAAAATAAATAATGGCCACATGACTCAGGAACCTAGTTGGTTAGACATTCCACACACTGGTGATTTTTTAATAAAAACTTGGATTTTGCTTCCATGTCCTACCTTTCATCAGAGCACATTCTGTTCTAATTTGTCTGACCTATTTTTTATCTGCTATGGTGACGACGTAGTGCCTTGCACATAGTAGGCAATGCATATGCTCATGAAATGCATGCTATAATTGAATTATTTCTCCTCTCGATTTCTGCCAAAGGTTCTTTCCAGATTTAATTCAAATGCCACTCTCCCCTGGCCCTCGCTAGCCATTTGTTTTCTTCCTCTTCTGATGGACGGGGGCGTCTGTTGCCTGCTTCCTTTGATCTCACGATGTGCACACATGGCCCTGTTTGCTTACCCAGAGCAGGCAGGCCTTTCGTTTCTTTTGAACCCCTTTAAAGATCACTGACACTGACCCTGACCCTCAGGTACCTCAGTGCATTCCATCAGAGTATGACCCTGACTTCGAAAAGCGTATCTGTAGTTGCCCAAAGACCTATGCTGAGACCTGATGCAAAAAAAAAAAAAAAAAAAAAAGTTGGCCTAACTCCTTCTCTCTCATGGGAGTCTGAATTGGGAGCATGAAGAGAATGGAGCAGCTGACGGGAGCTGAATCTGAGAAGGCTGGAGAGAGGCTAAGGAGATGGCAGTGAGCCACGTGCAGGCTAAGGGGGAAGAGGTGGTGGTTCAAGAGAAGAAAGGAGGGAGAGAAACGGTGCCCTAAGTGAAGAAGCCAGTCAGGAGGGAAGGAAGAGAGAAGGAAACAAAAGCCGAAGGAATGGGGATGGGGAGAGGCAGAGAGCCCTACGTCTGTGCCTGGCTAAGTGGAGGGACGGCCCTGTGTCCGTTCTTTCCACAGAGGCCCTTAAGCCCATGCTGTGCTAACGTGCTGGGTCCATCTCAGAGGCTGGAGCAGCCTTCATCACGCAACACTGGCAGAGGCAGCGACAAGATTTGGAAGGCCTAAAACTCATTTTGTGGACTGTCTTTAAGAAAAAGAATACAAAATGACTCGACTTTTGCGAAGTTTACAAAGATATCCATCATCCATGTGAACACACTGCCAAGGGCCGTGCAAGTGAGAGGCCTGGAAGCTTAATTCATCAGCATCTCAGCCAGTTGGCTTCTGGACGCACATCGGTCGTCACCAGGTGAGCTTTGGAAAGAATCACCGTGGACCGCAGCCAAGCTCTCATGGGAGCAGAGCAAGGCTAATTCCAGCTGGGGAATATTTTACAATCTTCATCTCTTTCTTATATATTACAAAACCATTCTGAAGACCATTTGATCAAAATAGTCCCTACAGACTTGACACATTGTTTTTTAACATGTTTTTCTAATAGTACTTATTTTATTTAAACCATTTACAACAATTTACATATTTTAGGTAAAGGCTTTTTGCTGGACCGTTTCCCATTCGGTTTTACCTGTCCCTCCTACTTCCTTCTCCCCCGCAGACCCCCAAGTCTCACCTCCCAGGTCTGTGACAGTCGACTGACAGAAGCTGTGTTGAGACCCATCACAATAGCGAAGAAAGAATTCAGGTTTCTCTGGGCTTTGCAGCTATGGGATAAAAGAAAGCAGAAGGCACTTTGAGGCAACAACTTCTCTCCAGACAACCGCAAAAGATACAGCTGAAACCATTCCCCGAGGCCACAGAGTTCAGCCTCAAGGGTAGGGCTGAATTCTGCCCCACAGTTCCCACGCCCCCGACAGCCCCTGTGGGAGATGGTGTGCCCTCCACTGTTTCTAACACAAATGATTCCAAACGTTTCAGCCCGTCTTTACCTTTAGGAGAAGATCTGTGTTCTTGAAACCCTCTGGACACTTTAACAGACTCCTCCTTTTAAAAAATATTTTGGGTGCACCTACAATTTCAACTGAAAACTCTTAAATTCATGTTTCCTTATATACGCACTGTCATTATAACAGCTCTTTTATCCTGTCTCTTTCATCAGTATCCTGTCTATGTTTTTTTGGCAGATAAACCCCTCTCACCTCTTATTACGTATTTTCTTTGTGATCAACAAAATTGTTATTATGTTATTTTATATGTATATTTAAAACATGGCCTATATTATGGGGATACTGCCCCACATTTCTCATTTAAAGGAAAAAGGAAATAAAATGCAAAATAAGATCATGTTGAGCTCTGTTCACTCGGTAAGGTTGTCTGTTCTGCATAACTGTCGGTCATGCTCTTGACTCAATTGGCCAAAAGCCCACCAATTTTCCGAGCCAGCCGAGGGGCCTTGGTATAGCAGAAGGAGGCTGGGCTTCTCGGCCGGCCAGAACAGTCTGTCAATTCTAGACGCTCCTTTATCTGAGGAAACTACTCCCCTGAGGCAAGTCTTTAAAACCAAGAAGTTACCTTAACTGGAGAATTAAATATGAAAAAATATGAAAGTGCTTAGCACTAAACTGGGTGCAGAAAAACTACCTAGTATAAACCGATTTAGCTCCTCCCCGATGCCATCTTTTCTTTTACATCTCCATCAATGTCTCAGATGAAATTTTGGAACAGTATATATATAACTTTGTATTTTCCTTTGTCAGTAATATACTGTTTCTTCACTATCATCACTGATGGCTATGTAACACTTTATCAAAAACATATTACATAATTTGTTTACTCACCCCTATTGTTGATATTTAAATTATTTTCAATCGATATAATTCAATTTGATATGAAATGCTGCAATGCATGTCTTTGTGTATAAAACTTTTTACTGTATTTATCATTATTTTATTACATTAGACTTCCAGTCATTCCATGATTGGTCAAAAGCTGCCATCACTTTAAAGGTTCTCGACACATTAAAAACTTCTGTCTCCCAAAACTACCAATTTCTAGCCACATAGGTTGTGTGTTTAAGAGCATCTGCTTCTGAACCAGGAAAATGGTTTGAGTTGTGAGTGTGGTAATGTACACAGCCGGCTGTGCCCTGGCAGGTCCTGATGAACCGGGCTGCTCACAAAGCCAGCCTCATGGACCAGATACTGCCCAAGTACAGCTGAGGGCCACGCCTGGAAGCACCGTGGAAGTTCTATTTCCATTCCTAGTGAGACCTGGAAAGGCACTGCTGCCTCCGAGCCTAGTGTCCAATATACCCAAGTGAATGCAGTCCTGCAGGCCCCTCGCCACTGAGTGTCCAGGGCATGCTCTGCCCTTCTTTCTGTCCAGCTTTGGACTCTGCCTGCAGTTTCCCGGTAGGCAAGAGGGCCTAAAACTCAGCCTAATTGACCCTTCATCCAGTTTCTGCCAATTTTCTAACAAGTATCTTGTTTGTTTATTCGTGAGCTATGCCAAGGATATACTCTGCTTGATAATTCTGGTCTATGACTTGGAAATTCACCTGTTTTTGAGAATCATCAGTGCCTAAAGTCACAATAACATAACTTTTCTTTTGCCATTCACTTGCACCCTTTCTGACACACTCGTGGGAGGTTCACACCCACCAGGACAGACCTGAGGCAGCCTGACATGATAATTTGAAGCACCGGGCTCCTCTGCTGAGGATCTTGTGATCAGTGAGGACTGTCTGATGCCTACACTCTCCCATACTCCCAGATCCTCCCGCCTTAACATGATGGAGGCCCGCTGGTTCTGTCATTCTCCACTAGGTTCCTTAAAAGGCTAAATTATACATCTATTTGATTTTTTATATTCTGCCCATCACCCAAATGCCTAGTATACAGCAAGCCTTTCAGATAGCATGTACTGAAGTGGAAACCAAGACTTTCTGGGTAAATGGTTTTATTACTATTCATTATGAAAAGGTTTCTTCTTTTTATTCAGCATCATTTATCTATATGGAATCTTAGATATAATCCTCATCTTTTTTATCTTTTAGCCCCCCATAAACAATTTTTCTGGTCCAGATCTCTTTTTTAGTCATATTTGGAATAAAAAAGCACACATAACTAATATCTGAATCTGTAAAAAAGAAAAAGGAATTAGAATAGTCAGGATTTCTCTAGAAGACAAATTGATACGGTACAAAATATTGAATACTATTCCAGACTGGAATCCTGTCACCAAGCTTCATTCACTCTGTGATAAGAATAGACTGTCTGACACTAAACATTCCGGTTTAGCAAACATTCCTTTGTCTGTGTGAGAAAGTAAAATCCACTCAATCCACAGAGGTGGGGGATGGGGATGGAGAGAAGGAAGAAAAACATGAATATGCAAATAGGATGCCTTAGGCAGAGGAAGACACTTCATGGTCATGGAAATTACCGTTTTCCCTTGGTTATTCCTACCAGGAATTTAACTTGATGTTTCTGTTGGCATTCTAGTCCATGGGCTAGGGATAGAGACCAGCACTGTAAATAATTCAAGATCATAGGGTCCTATAAAGAAGACGTGAATAGATTTCATTTCCCCGAGGACGGATATAATCCTAGACTATGAACAGAGCTGTGTGGTGTCATTCAACTTCTCAGAACATGAATGTCCCGTTTCTCCAAGTAACTGGCATTTATAAGAATGTTTTTGATCCAACAGAACCTTATCTTTAGGTATTTCACAGGCTATTACGGAATATAGTGGCCAAATAAAAAAAAGAGCATTTACCATATAAGATGTCCAAGATTTAGGCTTATCTGTTATCTTTTTCTCCTTCCATACAATTCACACAAAACTACAAGTCAGGTACTTCTATTATCTGTCACCTAAGTACACAAAACATCCGCTCTTGGGGGTCTCCTGGCCTACGGTCCAGTCTGTGTGCTACTCTCAGATCAACCTTCCTGAGGGACAATTCTGATCATCAGTTTCCTGCACAAAACTTTCAGTGAATCCCTACTGCCTTCTCAATGTGGTCCAAACTCCTAATCTGAAATCCTTTATAAATTGGTCCCGTCCTCCTCTGCAGATCCATCTCCCACAACATCTTTACAAATACCCTCCACTTGTGCCACACCGGGTGAGGTTACTTTCGCTGACCACATACATGTTCTCTGTCTCCGCTGAGCTCCTCTGCTTCTCTCCTCCAGCGAGTTTGACCTCCATGAAGAGTATGCTCTTTCGAATGCTCACCTGTCAAATTCTACCCAGAATTCAAATACAGCCTCGTATGGTCTTGCGCAAATGTTTTTTGACTCTTCCTGTCCCACATCATTGGCATATGAGCTTCCCCACTTCTAAAGCCCCAATAGAATTTGATCTCATCACAGTATAGTCCCCTTCTCTTCTGCACACGAGCTATTTGTGTTATAGATGTACTGACCACCTGCGCCGGCAGATTGCAGACTTCTAGAAGACAGGGATTAGGTCTCCACAGGCCCAGTCTGATTTCCCCATGGTATCTTGCATGGATCTGTGCATATTTTCTGACTCAATACATTATACTGACATGTACTCAAAAATTGTTAGATATGAAAACTATTTTGGAAGACAAAGGAAAAGTGAAATGGAAAGACTAGGAGGTAGAAGCAACTAGAAAAGGTTTTGGTTTCCTGTTGTCTGCTTCTGTTGGAAAGCTGTCCTGAGAGCAGTCTCAGGATGCTAACCTGGTCTTTTGAGAGACGCTCCCAGCAAGTTACTAAAATGTCATTCAACCAGCATTTACTGAGTCGCTGGTATTTACTAAGTTCTGTACCAGGGGCCCAGGTACGATGATGAGTAAGAATTGGTTGGTCCCTGTCTTCTGGTGGCCAACACAGCAGTGAAGGGATCCTATATAAACAGATAAGTTTAATAAATAACGAAATTTAAAAAAGAGAAAAAAGAATGTGTGGTGGGAGGCGTAGGAAGTAGGGGTAGGGAGTAATTGACCCTGCACTTGAAAGTCAGGGGAGGACTTTGGGAAGGAAGTGACATTTGACCTAGGTCTTAAAGAATGACAACAAGCTGCTGGATGAAAGGGGCCTTTCTTGGCAGACACAACAGGTGTCCAAGGCTTGGAGGATGGGGTGCATGGGAAAGAGATAACCATTGTGAGTGGCTGCAGCATGGGGTGCACCCAGGGGGTGGGGTTCAGAGGTCAGGTGGAGCCAGCCAGTGCAGGGCCTGCTAAGGAGTTTGTGAAGTTCAAACTGTAGGCCATCAAGGAACCAAGAGCAGAATCTCAGAACACACCTGACTTTCGATGATTCTTACCCCCTTATATCAACTTCCCCTTTTTTCTTAGTTTAGGTAGCTCACCCAGTCACATTGTAATTTAGCTGCAGAATGGGGTATGCGTGCACTGCCTGCTTATTAATTCTGTGGCACAGAGCAGACTGCTTCAGTCTGGTATTTTGACATTTACTTTAAAATAAAAATACTTCAGATGCAAAGATATAAATATTCAAGAAGAAACCTTTTCAATCATTTGGTCATCTAACTTAATATTACACTTTTGTATCTTAACCTTTATCATCACAAGGAAAAAAAAAGTACTCTCACAAATAGACAAGAGGAATTGTACTTTTCACCACTAGAAACTCACTGAGCGGCAATTTTGATGAATTTTTTCACCAGCTGCACTCGCTTGCCCAGCTGACTGCAGAGCAGAATCTCCGTGGCCACCCAGAGCTGGACTTCATTGCATCTCTGGAGCAGAAGGCTGAGGTTCACAGTGTGCTCCCCACTTCCTTGTCTGCTGAACGTGAAGTAGATCAGCTCTTGCTGAAAGAAAATGTATTCATGCCTGCATTTATTTTTAGCACTAAGTCAGGTTGATACAAAATTCAGTCCATTTTTAAGAGCTGTTTCAGGTAGTTATTCTCATATCAAGAATATAATGAATAACAAAACTTTAATTTGAAACAATTTATCTTGAATTTTAAAGATGCCCCCTTAAATAATGTTCACTTGGACTCTTTATATAAATGTAGTATTTTGGAATATAAGGATGACATCTGTCCATGAAAATCTAAGACAGTCTAAAGTTTAAATCACAGGCTGGGTCGAATACAGACTTCTTAAAGTTGTTATACTGGCAAATTGTAAATGAAAATCATTACTAGTATTTGCTAAGCTGCACATTAGACCCTCACAGGAAGATTCTCTAAACACGGTTCTCAAATTTTAGTGTGAATCAAGATCACCTGGAGGCCTGTTAAAGCCTGCTTCCCCTCCCCCACTGAGTTTCTGATTCAGCTGGTCTAAGGACAAAAATTTACATTTCTAACCAATTTCCAGGTGGTGCTGATGATGTTGGTCTGGATACTCATTCTTTGAGAATCACTGATCTAAGGTAGTATCAAATCATAAACAGAAAGAGTGAGATTTGGGCAAGGTCTAAAACTTACAAAAGTGAACAGGACCAGTAACTATATACTGTCTATAGATAGATCGTATATAAATAGATTTGTTTCTAAATGGAGGTGTGTATGTGTGTGTGCATGTGTGTGGGTGTGTGTATTTACAGAGGTAATTCACATTTTCCCACCGCATAAGCAGGGACACATCCCATTCTATTAATATTTAAAAAATTACAAGTCATTTAGCTTGAACGAGTTCACTACTTGCTCAAATTTAGATCACCATGTTGGAAATGTAACGAGAAAATATGAGGACATTTAAGAAACATTCCAAAATGAAAGTGAAGCTCAAGGACTTTAAAGTTGGACATGAACTTCTTCAGATGGAAAGGCCATTTCATAATGAACAATTTCACTATATGGCAAAGCAAATGCAACATACGGTTGCACAGAACAGTCATATTTTTCATCTTCTGATTCTTGTAAACTTTTCCACTGGCTAAATTTATCTATTAGTTATCAGTAGCATTTTGCCCATAATCTATCATTTTATAAACGTTATAAGCTGTCTTCAAGGGAGAAGTTGACGGACACAAAAAATTGAAATATATTTCAAAATTTTCAAGAAAGTACTTGAAGTCTTGCGGCAAAATCTAAATTTATAGAATGTTCTTAAGTAAAAGGGTGTAAGGGTGTGTGTGCGTGTATGTGTACACACACATATACATAAAGTTAAATATGATTCTTGTATAACTATTGTAAACGTCATGAGAAAAATTAAAATATAAAAATCAAAGGTATCAAATGCAAAGTAGCTCTTTAACCCCATTACTGCTTCATATATGTATCTGTAATATACATATATATATCACACACACATATATGTATTATACGTATAAAAATATAGCATGCTTACACTACATCACACAAACATATTGCACTAGGAGCAAATAAAACATGATTATGTATTCTGATTTTCCCAGCACTGGGTTAGTCTTTCAATATGTTGAAAGTCCCCAAATATCTTTTCAGACCATGGTATCCTAACATAACTATATCACCATCTTTTAAAAACCTAGTCACAGACATAAATATTCTTCAGAAAGAATTTGCGGTTAAAATAGCTCTAGTGTTTATTTGATCTTCTCACTCCTTCCTTACCTCGTGAATTGAATTGAAGAGACACCAATCAAAATTCATTAATTCCAGAGCGAGATCCCAAGTGTTCATTCCCAAAATCCTCATCGACCTTTGCTGTGATTCCTCATTTTCTGCCAACGGGTTCTAAACCAACAGAAGCAAAAGGATCCTTAGTAATTCCCAAATGTTTAGCAATGAATTGGCTGGCCACACAAAGGCGCTAAAAACCCAGATTAGAAAAGCAATCTTGTCTGAGGGCACTTAATATTTTCCCTGGTCTTTTCACCTTCAGTGAGTTACAGCCAATTTAGGAAACAGCCTTGGACACAGTAGAATGTGATCAATGAGTGCGCTTGCTCCTCCCCCCGACCATATACATGCGCACACAAATCTGATTATAAAACACTGTCTGGGCAGACAGCACAAGGAAAACGAAAGCCCTGAAATCACTTTGGCTTCTGGTAAGAATTAATGTGCCAGCAGGGTTAGTATAAAAACAAACAAAAGAAATGTCAGGGTGCACTTCAATAAAGACAGACATGGCTTTTACAGGAAATACGTTTAATAAGTCTCATCCCAGACACACGTTTACAAATTTTATTAAAACGCTGGTGAAAAGCAAAAAAAAAAAAATTAAATATGTGATAAAAAATAAAAGTTATTTCATTTATACCTCACAGTATAAATGATCCCCACAACAGATGATTATTTTAAGTAGCAATTGCTTTCCCTGCACAAGTAAGTATCAGTTTAGTGACGGTATTTCCTTAAATCTGGCATGAAATTATTAAATGCCGCTACAACTTTAAATCTACTGTCACTGTCAAATGTATTAAAAATTAGTCGGCATCTTTTCAAAATTTTTTATTTTTTCTAATTAAAATATAAATGCTCCCATTTGAGGGGTTAAACTTAAATAGTGAACAATGTTAGAATAGCTAGTGACTTGGAAATAAAAGAATGGGACTTTTCAAAAATAAGTGACATAGCAGGATAAAGGGAATATTTCAGATCCCAAATCGTAATCTCTATTTCTAAACTGTAAAATAAATTATTTGCATTTTAGAATTTTTACATTTCAAAAAGTTTTCCTAATAAAAAAAAAAAGAATGACAAAAGACCCTCACAGAACTTTCCTGCAGACTTGATTCTGTGCAGAGCAGGTCAAGGTACAAATCGTCCCTGTGTTCCCAGAGTGGGACACAGGGTAGAGCTCAGTAAGCGCAGACTGAATGAATGTGTGTGCAAATACTGAGGTGTTGAGGTGGGGGACAAGCCGAGGCTTCCCAGAGACTGACTGGTCGGTCTGGCTAGGTTGGGGCCAGATGGGACATTATGTTGCACTGTAGACATTCAGAGGGAGAGCCACAAATTGGGAAGTAACACAAATCTCAGCTCACTGACTGGGTGGTGTAAGGATATTTTCACTTGGTTTTTTCAGCGCCTCCCCCCTACTTTCTCCCTAAATACATCCCCCTTTGCCTTGGTACTGCCCTCGGCTTATTCAAGGTTGCACTGTCCTCTCCAAGCAATATGGTATTTCTCCATCCCATTCATTCAGGACTCGAATTCCTGTTTTCTAAGATTAAGCTATACGCAAGGATAGTGGGTACGAATGGCTTCACGTGTTATTCTTCCCTCACAATGTCCCATTTCAACCGAAATATTTTGGAGATGGAATACCTAAAGCTATGGTTCCAATGGGGAAATTTTAGGTGGTGTGCAAAGCAGGTGTGGGAAACATCTGAGGGCAGGATGGCATCTGGCTCATCTCGGAACACACTTCCTAGCACCTGTTTATTTCATTAAGACATTGCCTCAGGCCTGCCTTCTACTCTCCTGAAGCTGGCCCCGGACAGTGGAGAAGAGAGCTCCTGGAATGCATCCAAAGGAATTGCATGAGAAGTCTGTGCGGCACGGAGGAGGAGGGATTGAAGTCTGTTAGAGCGTAGATTCCTTCCATCACCAGGAGCCCCCGCAGCTACATGTTATATCGTACTCCTTCGTGGGGAGGGGCAAAGGCAAATCAATCTCATTATTTACTCTAAGATGCTATGCAGCATCCAGTTTGTCATGTTTCACTGATAGGGTTACATCATGGGCAGACACAGGACCAGTGACCTGCTGAAGGGCACTCAGAACCAGAAAGGCCCAAGTAAGACAACGGGTTTCCCTCTCCTTTTCTCCCTCATCATGTCCCATTGAAAGGAACGTGCAGGAGCTCCAGAGGCAAACATAATCGGACTGAAATTCTAGCACTGTCCCTGGCTGTAGGAAGCTAGAGTGTCACTCGGCCTCTCTGAATTCCACAAGGTGACTGGGAATGTTAAATGAGATACTGTATGTAAGTTACTCAGCACATACATGTCTGGTAGTAACTATAAACAATGACAGTGACTAATACTATGATGGCTTGATAGCATATAGATAATAACTTTTTAATTATAAGCATAAAATATTTTGCGATATTTGGTTTATCCACATGGTATATACATTCCTCTATTGTACAGACAGCAGGAGACAGCTAGAAAGACCCAGGCCAGTGAAGATGAGACCATGAGTCTGGATGGTACTATCACAGTCTGCTAAAGCCTGCTTTTCATGGGTGATGGATCTGAGGCCTGCTCTGACCATTTGGAAAGCAGCCATGAGACCGAGGTTTTTAGAAACAACAGGTCATCTGCTTAGGCATCAATGTTCTTAAATGTGAACTTAAAGAACTTACAGTATGGGTTTTACATTTCTTCACACTTTTACTCTATAGTGGCATCCGATGTCACTTTGTGACGAGCCCATTCCCACACAGGGAAGGCAGACACTTTGCCCTTTCTTCGGAGGAAGGGTACACTCCACATGCACCAAACGGAAAGAAATAAAGGACAGAGTTTCTTTCCCTTTAAAACCACACAGGGTGCATCTCTCAGCCTGACCTCCAGATACACAAGAAAAAGAAACAGGGAGTTAAGATTTCATTGGAGAGGGAGTCACTTTCCTCAGACCCCTTATTTCGGGGGCTCAGAGAGAAAAGCTGGGTTTGACTTAGGAAGGGTTTGGAATCCCTCAAAGTCGTGTGTCTTTGATTTGCAAAAGTAGTGTTTTTGACAAATGTATTGTTGGCTAGAGGAGGAAATATTTCAACGCATTTTGCTAACTTTCATTATAAAACACACAAGAGTATGTTTTAGCCTGACACTTGTGTCTGTGTTTCAAGTACAAAGTTAAAGGTCCTCACCAAAGTGTCAGCCAGATCTTTCCGGTAGACATACATCCGACCAGTCGCGTCCATGGGTTTGGAGATGGCCAAGTCATTAGGCTGAAGTTCATGCTTTTCTTTATTTAAAAAAAAGAATAATTAGAAACACGAGAACAGCGGCAGGTGTGAAAGGTTCATCTAAAGAGTAAAACTTGTCAAAGAAAAATATTTAAAAGTAAATCGCATGTAAAGTAGATTTAATTCAGTTCTGCATACTCTCTACAATGATACCAGCAGGACCATGGACATCATTGCTTATTATCCGTAAAGTGAAATCCACTTGTGATTCTTTCTTATAATATTTAGCCATTCGTTGGAACACAGAACAGTTTAGGGGGGAAAGGAAAATTCACTTGTAATCCCGTTACTCTGAGATAACCATATGATGGTAATATTGGTTGACATTTGGGTGTATTTTTGTTCTGATCTTTATGTAAGAGGGTGTGTGTGTACACACATACACATAGGTGCAATTATTTACACATATACATACATACTTATTATGCATATGTATTTGCTATTATTTGCTATTATTCCATATGTGGTTTCATATTTTGATTTTTATTATAAGCACTTAACCACTTGCCAAAATTATTTATATATGTCAGGTTTGATTACATAACAGTCCATTATACCATCATTTAATCTTTCTGCTATTGCTGAACATTTAATTTTTCCATTTTTTTGGTCATATAAATTAGATGGCAAAGTATATGCTAAATACTAACATGAGGCCTGACATATTCCTAGGGCTTAACAAATGGGATCTATTATTATAGCAGCCATAATACATACTGCTGAAGTCAACATCCTTGTGCATAAATCTTTTGCTGCTTATAGATGATTTTCTTAAGATAGATTCCAAGTACTGGAATTACTGACTCAAAGGGAATGAATATTTTTAAAGTTTTTGATGCAAACTACCAAACTGGTTTCCAATTCTTAAACTGACCAACACTCATCATTACTTTGGGTAAGTCTGCTATTTGGTTGAAACCAAAAACAGATTCACAGTTTGTTTTGTATTTCTTGACTACAAGTGAAGCTGAATCTTTTCATATATTCTTCTTCTATTTTATTTCCCTTATTACAAATTGACCTTATCCTTCAACCATTTTTCTGCCATTGTTGGAGCTCTCTTATAACGCAGTACCCTTCTTCATAGAAAAATGTTCTCCTTCTAACTACAAAACACTGTAATACAATCAGCTTCTCCTAAAGCAGCCCTTTAGCTATCCAGCATGGTCGAGAAATGACATATTCTACATTCTTTTTCTAGAAAACTTAATCAGTTCAAATGCCAAGTTTCGTTTTGAACATTTCTGCTTAATATAGAGTACACAAATGATAATCTAATATATACTTTATGGCCCAGCATTAGAAAGATCAATAGTACTGTCAGGTCTGGCTGTTGACACGTGTACTAAATGGTCCCACACGGCTGGGCTCTGACGTTCTTCCATATCTTCCCTCTTTGTTTAGCTACAATTTCTTGCAACCCTCTGTGTGCCCATATATACCTTAAGCCTGAATTTATGAGAGCCATTCAAACCTTGGTGTGGAATAAAAGGCCACAGCTTTCTGACAGTAATTCTTCCATTTGCTAAGACTTTTTTTCTTATATTTGGGTTTGTCACTATACTATAAAATATTAAAGCTGACAGAATTTTAGGCTCTGAACAATTGAGTAGGTTGCTGTTACCTATAACCACCGTGGGTACAAAACAGCTAAAAACCTACTGAAAGCTATGAGGATAACAGTATCAGGCCTTTTAGAGAAATCCACAAAACCTACAAACTGACAACATCTTTAAAATTTTTTGACAAAATAACAGTAGAACTCATTGTCATTTCATTTTGAAGTAGTATTTAAAACACTATTTATTGAAATTACATAACTAGAGCAAGGAATACATTAGCTCTGTTTTTTTTGTTTGTTTGTTTTTTTTGTTTTTTTTGTTTTTGTTTTGCCCTTCCATTAAAACATTATTGTTTGGGGGATATTAAGCTGCAGGCAGAAAGGTTCTTAGGAGACAAAACTACTAATGGATGGAAAATGATGGCACATTTCCAAATCTGCGGGATAATTTAGGAGATAAGCTGATAATTCCAGTGACAGTTAGCAATGAGCCTATACATATAAAAACACCACTGCCCACCCTGATGAAGCCAATTTAATAGAGTGTAAAAATGGTATTTCATGGCGATCAAATAGATACTGGGTATTATAACCCACCCATTAATTTCCAGATTCACGTGTGGCCCTGGGCTGCCTCGGAGCCAGCCTCAAAGGGATGGGTCCTCAAAGGGATACTACCAACTTCACTCAGGTCCTTTCATCTCCAGCACCTCCTGTCTGAATGGGGACTCAAGGTACTCTCTTGAGAAGCAAATGTTGGTTTTAATGAAGCTTAATATTGTTTAGAATCATCTAATATTTTTGGACACTTAAATATGCATTCATCGTTTCTATCTGGAATGTCTGACATATTTTATTAAAAATTCAACCACTCTTTGATTAAAATTCATGTAATCCACATGTTTCTCAAACGTGTGCTCTTTTTTTCTAGATCATATTTTGACAGATGCACATTAGGGCCCTGGGAGAGGTAGGACTTTTTTATTCGGCCTAGAGAGAAGGGCTGTATCTGTTTGCGTATATAATCAACTAGTTTGTAGGACCATTTTACCTTGCTCTGAATAACAAAGCAATAGAAGCAGAATTCTGTCACATAATGCTCTAATGTCAAGTTAAATTCAGATATTCTTCTTCTGACTCCAGAATGATAACAAAGGGTAAACGGGAATGCCTGTTATCTGTTCTTCCTAACCCCCCATCACCCCATCTCTTGCTGATTAGTTCACATAGTCCTCCCATTTTTCAACAACTGATGCTAAGTCACTTTCTTTGTATTTTTCTCAGGGCTAATGAGAAATTAAATAAAGATTGTAAACCAAAAAGGAGGTCAGGGATACTGAAATCTGACGAGCTCTGGTGAAAACGAAAGGGTCTGTTCAGGTCGCATAGATCAATAGTGTCAGCTTGTAATCTGTGTGATCTTATTCAAAACAGACAATAAACCATTCTCTGAGGATAAATAAGGCCCAACAGAAGAAAAATCTATAACCAGGCCTTACTCCGCACATCCACCTGAAGGAACACTGCCTGTGAGCTTTGGCTTATTGTAGTTTTTATTTCCTTTGATAGAGAGTCTTTAAATATTAAATTGTCAGCCAGCAATATGACTAGTTCAAGGCTGTCTTCCTTTTTTCTTCCTAAACTAATAATATCCTCCTTTAGTAATTTCCCAAGTTAATTTAAATATGAAAATATAAAACTTATCTAGAGTACAAAATATGAAAAGCTTTATAATATAGTTCAAAACACTGGCATGCCTCTCTATTCAGTTCTTGGGGAGGAAATTCAATATCCAATGGTACCCAGCTGTTGTCATGGAAACACCTCTGGTAGGCAGCTTCTCATTGTTAGTGTGGTCATCTAGCTGCAGACCCAGAAGAGATGAGCTGCACGTTTACTCTATAAAAATGTCAACTCTCTCTTTTTGGAGGAGAGCCAGTGAAAGATTAATATTCAAGGACAGAAAATAATTTACCTCCGGAGAATGTGACGGCCACCAGAGCCAGATCCTCTTCTGCATGCTGGATTTTTTCTGCCACAACTTTCAGGATCTCTTGGGCTGTACTGGAAACTTTTGCCTTCACACTGACATAGGAGTGCTCCGTTATATACACGTGGCAAAAAACTACACAAGACAGAAGAATTGTTAGTAAACAGAGGACTGTGGCTATGAGGTACAGACTTTTCCAAGTCAAGGCACCTCCCTTCCTATCCTCATTAGATTTACATACTTATGTATGCATGTGGGTGCCTGAGGGCATATGCGTGCACATGTGTGCTTGCACACACACGAGATGCAGACGTTATAAGCTGATGAGCCAGCCTGAGTAGCACTTAGGCTGCCCACGCTGTAATGAGAGACCCATGTCACCCAGCTGTGTGCTCGTAGTGGCAACAACCTGACCATGAAGCAGGGGAGCCTGTGAAACATGTTCTGTCCTTTTGAGTCCCTTCTCTGAGGGTTACTGAGATCTCCCAAAGCTGTATATTAAAATGTCTAACTCATACATTTCTATTTTACACTCCATTTCTGGACAGTCACAGTGGCCAAGTCAAAAACACCATATTTCATTATTACGATTCCCATCATTTTATCTCAAAATCTGTCATTTGCCATAGTTTTTGATGTTTAGCCTTTCTGATCATTTAAGAATGATCCCTTCCTCCACCCCACCCCCCTGGGATCAAGGTGATGGTGAGTTTAGTTTCCAAGTAGAGGTCACATTTCTAGCCATTTTAATTTCCTTCTTATTGTATGCAGTGCTAATAATTATTACTAGGACATTATCACTGGCAGCATGAATGACTCCTGGAAAATTTTTTATTTATGATTTGATAGCAGAAACTATGTTAATAGCTTTGCAGATAACTGACACATTTGCTGCTAATATCAGCTATTCTGAACAATAAAACAAAGGACAAAAATATACTTAGATATTCTTCTCTTCTCTATTATAAGATGTAAAAAAAAAAAAAAGAATGGAGTGCAGCTGTGAGAAAAATTTCATAGGCAATTTAAATGGCACCACAAAATTAAATCCAGGAACGTTTTCATGGCTACGAATAGAGCAACAGGCAAACTGTGAGTTTACATGTACAAACCTCAAAGTCAACACGCCACTGGGAGGCACTGACAGTGTTCTGTTCTTTGGTTTGGTTGGGTGTGTCACTCAATCGATGGCATCTAACAAATAGTTGTTTTATATGTTGTCAACAGACTTGTGAAAGACAAAAGGGCTTTTATCCTTCCATAGAAAAATGGAATTTCTGAGCAAGGCAAAGTTCTGATCTACAAACCGCTGAATGTGATGCAAGTTTATAGCCTGCTTAATGAAGCGATGAACGAAAAGAGGCTGGGGGCCTTGAAATACAGAGACTCTTTGAAACTCAGCTTGGGAAATTATACGATTAAACTGTGAGACAAATGGGTGAGAAAGGTGAGCAAGTAAGGAATTAGAAGGTAAGATCACCTTGTTTGCGCTTCCACGTTGTACATATGATACTTACGACACAACAGCACCATCAGGAGCAGCATTACATACAAACAATGTATCCTGGTGACACTTTGTTGTTTAATTGTTCAAGAAGTTTAGCAAATGTTAAATGCTCACACTTAGAATTTCAGCACTCGCTGAAAGGTGAATGAAAAGAAGAAAAGTCTCTGAGTCATAATAGTGTGAACGTTTTGATGACTGTAAGTGTTCCCTGGCTCTGCACTTGACTCAATGTTTATTTAAACAGGAGGAAACCATTTTCTGTTCTGTTACAAAATATCCCCGTAGAAAAGTGCGTCAGCATCTTCGGGGTGCTAAAAAAATGTTTCCCTTGCGTTGACCAAGCAGCCCTCTTCCCTTTGGTCACTGACGGGCACTGACTGAGGACATACTGGACGTGTGGCGCTGCCCGGCAGAGCCTTGCCTTGAAGGAATTTCGATTGCACATCCTTCCTTTCGTCATCTTCTCCAAAATTTCTCCCTCTAAATGTACCCTGCACATTGGTTTGAGTGGACTTTCCAGTTAGTCATGAGCAACGGGCTGACCGACAGGGGAGAAGAAGAACCAGAGGGGAAAGTTGCATTTCCAGGCAATTCTGCACCTCTCCAAAGAATGCAGGAGGCTTTGCGGTCTCTTTCCTTATTTCCCAAATTAAAAGTGTCCTTGGTCCCTGGGACACTATTATACGATCAAGAAAACGTTAACGCCCAAAGCAGAGCAAAGCAAACCATCGTTTTTTGACGCTAACATGCTTGTGAAAGGGGTGTGACAGCTGGAAATGGTTAAAAGCAGACTGATGTGTTAATGTTGCAGAAGGATGGTGATTAACTGTTGCTCCACCCACCCCAAACGCTCGTTAAAATCATACTCACTTTCCTCTGTTTCCGTCACAGTTCCTCTATGTTGGAGCCAGTTGTCCTTAAGACTGAATTGGTGGAAAAGGGCTTTATTCTGTGAGAAGGGAGAAAGAGAACAATGAATGAATGTGTTCCTGCCCTTTGGAAAACCACGGCTGTTTATAACATGTTCCAAAAGAGCCAGCCAATTTCTTTCTTTTTTCTTCTTCTTTTTTTTTCATATTAAATCCATTCATCCAATCTTAGAGGAATAAACTAGGAGTTGCCTCAATTAATGCATGTGGAGGTGGAGATTCTGAGCAACATGGCAGACCTTGGCCAAGGTCAGTATTAGGCGAAAAGCCCCTCTAATTATTCTTTGCAATGTGCTGGAAAATATCTGGTTACTGCAAACATCTACAGTGTCTTCTCCTGAGTAATGACACTGTTTCCCCATCCCAACCAACATCAATCTTGCTTTTGGATAAAGCAACTCTGAGATGCTTTCATACTCTGCTGTAGTACAATGACTTTCTCAAGGGAAATAGGTACGTTATTCATTATAATTATCCACCTGATTTACCAGCTTCTATAAAACCTATGTCTGACATCTCATTCTGCATTTCCCTACTCAAGTTGAACAGGGAACACTCTCATTCTTGCTACCATCTCTCTTTCTGTTGAGTTGAAAAGTGCAAATCTTTCTCTTATAAGACTTTCCTACTCTTGCAGTCAAGTTTCTTGCCTGTATTTATTTATTTATTTTTGTATCAATGTTTAAAATTCAAATTTTTATCACTCCGGGGGACATTGGGAAAACTCCAAGACTCCGAAATGCACCACAAAACTATGCAGAATGTGAGAAAGTCAAGGGCACGGGGCCGAAATCGATCTGCACCTGCACAGGGAAACTGACGTGAACCAGGAAAGTGCCGGGGAGCCGCAGCCCCAGACTTCCTGTCGTGCACTGTCCTGCTTGAGGCAGTATTCATTTTAACTATGAAGAAATGCTGAGTGAGGCAAGGCCAGGTCTCCAAAGGGGATCGCCCCATTTTAGATAGAGAAGGGTCTGCCTTACCTTCCTTTGAGGTGAATATTCATCTACAGTGCTGAAAATAAAAGAACAAGAAGTCAGTCTTTGTCCCAAACCCAGAATAATGCATATATTGTCACGAAAGACTAATTTGAGGCACTGGGCAGAGGCATTTGCTTTTCCAAAAGATAAAACACAGCATTCATTCATTTACCATGTATATTGCACTTGACTTTGGGATCTGGATTTCAAGTGAACCAGGGAGGAAAGAAGCAATCTATTCAACAGGTATATTTTGCTTTCTACCCATGGAAAGTGAGATCTGAGAGAAGAATGGGATTGAAGACACAGAAATTCTAAGTTTTCTCACATAATGATAGATTTTAGGTGAAATTATTGTTATTCAGATAGCTAAATAAGTCAGCTAAGGTGCATCTTTTCCAGGATGTTTGTATGTGTGGTGGAACTGGGGGACATTCGATAGGTCCCCAGCTCTAATCTTACTCCAGAATCTACAGATATTTCATAATCTTGTACTCAAGAGGCAAGAATCATGTCTTATTTCATTTTCTTAATCTATTATCTCTCATTTTTATGTAAGCTTTTTTTTAATGGAATGTATTAAATTCCGTTAATGTCTTTAATGTACGTAAGTGTATTAAACTATAAATTAAAGGTTCCCAACAGTAACAAGGCCTGCCTTACGGCAGACACCGACTTCCATGTGGGGGATTATTTTGATGTAAAGGCTGTCTTTCTTTTTTGTTTCGCTTATTTGTTCATATTTTCATACTAGTCTTAGGCTATGGAAACTTATTATAGTGTAGACTAGGAAAAAAGGAGGCCACCAAAATTCACAACATTCATTTTACGCACTGTCCTAACTTGCATCTCATTTCTGAATTTCTAAATGTGTGATTTTCATGATTGAGGATTAAGGCTTACACATGATTTATTTGCTCCTTAAAATCGTGTAGACATTTAATTTGCAGTAGGATCTCTCTTTACTAAAATTAAGTCAGGATTTAAATCTCAAATCAATAATCTGGAAGGCCTGAATTAACATTTTCTGAGACATGCATTTGTGACTGATGAAATCTTAATAGAAGTTTTTCACAACTTGACAACAGATGTGTTTCATGTTTGCTAAACAGAAACTATATTGTAAATCAGAGAACAATTTTTTTTCTCTCAGATTAACTCTGCAGCTATATCTGAAAACTGAATAATGACTTGATGTTTTCATTTACCAAAAGTAATAAGGAGAGTTAGTATAAGCAGAGCAAAGTCAGGTATTAGCAATTTGAAAGGCTAATGATTGATATCTGGGGGATACTTGGACGTGTCAAAAGTCATTGAGTAAATGGTTTTCTTTAATCTTTCTAAATTAATATGGAAGCCTCAGGGAATCCATAAAATTGAGCTTTTAAAATGCTCCATGACTTCCTAGGACATATTTATAAAACATTTTTTCCTATTCCTTTAGAAACAGCTGTGAGCCCCTCCAAATGACATTTTTAATATTTACACTTTTAAAATTAAATCATAATGTATTACATGATTGTTTTGGGTACCCAATTTGTCATGGCTCAGTTTGCTTCTCCTGTATCAAATAGGATTTAAAAAACCAGTGAATAAGCTTGATTTAGTGTTCACTCATTTTGAGATATAAAGACAAAATACACAATTTACTATCAGAAAAGCTAAGAAATCAAGATGAATCTCCGATTCAAAATGTTCAAAATGATGTCTATGGCCATGCCACCCTGAACAAGCCCGATCCCATCTGATCCTGGAAGATAAGCAGGGTGGGGCCTGGTTAGTACTTGGATGGGAGACCACCTAGGAAGACCAGGTGCTGTAGGCGTAAAAAATAAAAAAATAAGGGATTGTAAGCTGACAAGGTCCTTGCAATCTGTGAGGTCAACCAAAGGTTGCTTTGCCTAAAAAAAAAGTTCAAATGAACTTTATAAGACATCCCAAATTCTATCACATTTGCTTCTTTCTTTCATTAACTGTAACATAGAAAATTAAATACTTACTGACGACGGTGCATTCCAAGTATCTTTTGAAATTCTTTCAATTCTTTTTCAAGGATTGGATATTCATATACATCATCCAATACGTTCCTGTATATGGTCTTGGGGAAAAAGAAAAACAGCAGTTGAATAGATTTAATGCCCATTTAGTAAGGATTAAGACTCATACAGTGGTTAGCCTGCCCAGGGAAACAGGTGAAAGCCAGGACAATGCAGGAGGTTAACTCAGGTACCAGTGAGATCTTGAATGGGACTACACCTGCTAGCCCCTCACTCACCTGGCACGACTCCCTCACAGCTTTTAGGGGCTAGAGGGAGAGAACACCGGAAACTTAGAGATCCCTGGCCGGCTACTCCAGGTTTCTTTGCCTTTTCTATATTTTTAAAAATAATACCCATATGATCATTTGGGAGGGGAAACAATCGATTGAATTAAAGTATCGAGTTGTTTTGAAATAATATGAGTTTAGTTAAAGAGTTAGTTAAACAGGTTTTAACTGAATGTCTAAACGATATCTAAAGTTTGAATTCAAAGCGACTTCCTTCATGAAAGGCACAATCGTTTTAGACACCTGTTTATTCTGAAACAGAACTCTTCCTTGCTCAGATTCCATTTCGTGTTAACTTGCACAGCTCATATGGTTTTGATGGCCAAAGGAATCCAACTTCTACAAACCAACTCCAGAGAATCATTAGGTTAACAGTGTTGAAAAGATACTAAAGCCTATTATTGATTAGAAAAGTATATCAGTTTATCTAATTCCAAATGTAAAGCTAGGTTAGTATTACAAGTTATTATTGCTTAAAATTCTAGAGATATACCATGTCCTCAAAAGTTTCATAATGTATATATTGTCAATACAGGTTTTAAATGATAAATGATGTTTTATCCAAATATTGTACACATGAGATTGGTCTAGTTCAAATTTATAATATATCTCAACATATTAAATAGTATCAAGTTTCAAAATATGTTTTATTTTACCTTCCTTATTTCATTTGCAAACTTCCCAATACTTGTATAAAATAGCCTTAAATTAGTGAATTTAAAATTTGTCTTCTACATTTTTTTGTAACCAATTATTTAAAATTAAAAAAATTCTATGTAAAGACTATCAGGCCTTTGAGGCCAAACAAATTAATACTTTGTTCAAATTGCAACTTGAATATTACAAAAAAGTGAACAACTGCAACCTACAAATGGGATTTTTTGAAATGCATAACTGAGAATAAAAACAGCCATTTGACATCAAAGACTATCTGGAAGTTTTACATTACCTTTAAAAACATTTTTGAATGTTCATCTTCATGTAACCAGTCTTTGTACAGAGAGATCCACTGAGAAACAAGATGCAAGACCTTACGTTTTCGACAAGAAACATCCGAGTTTTCGTCTTTGCCTTGATACTTCTTAGCAGAATAGGTGCAAATGGTTAAGAAAGAGTATTACATGTTGAAAATAAAAACGCGAAAAGATCTATTTATTCTTGCCAGAGCACATTTCCAAAGAATCCACAAGTATCTAAGCATGCGAGAAGAAAAGAATGTGTAGGGAGAGCAAAAGGTACGCATTGAAAAGAGCAAAAGTAAGCCCAGGGAAATGGTTTATGCACGCTCGGTGACAGGCCCGGAAGGTAAGGGTTAGCTGATTGCACTGACGGCTGCCGATATAGTTCCAAAGGAGGAACAGGTTATTGATGTCACCTCAAAGAGATAGTAGGTGGCCCATTAATTTCAAAGAAGGGTCCAAGAGATCTGGCCACACTATATACGCAGACACTGCTTCCATAAAAGTTAGGAAGGAACTAGTCCGGATATCCTTTGAGCCTCAGAAATACACATTCTGTAAAAACAGTTACTTCTAAAGTAGCCCCAAGTGAGCGCAGATTTCTGCAACATAGTTCTGGATATTTTTCAAATGTCTTCCCCTAGGAATTTACTTGAAGAAAGGACTGGATAAATGAGCAAACATAAGTAAAAAAAAAAGACTGCTAATTCACTTCCACTGGAATAAAAAAATAAAATACGAATAACCTAAATGTTTCAATCATTGGGGAGAGTTAAAACTAAATTATTACATAGCCATCTAATGGGCTGTTCTGCAGCCATAAAACTGATGGTACATATACTGACAGATAACATTCACAATATACTGTTGAATAGGAAACTAAAAAAGAATATGTTAGGATGATCCATTTCTCCTGACTATGCTTATTTATATAAGTAATTCCATTACCTGGAAAGATGTACTGAAAGTTAACAGTGGCTTCTCGAGGTAATGCGATTTCAGAGTACATAGCTTATTTTTATTATACTTACAAGCATTTTCTAATTTGTATGCAATGACCATGTATTAACTATGCTGTTAAAATTATATATAAATAACAGGCTCAAAGGCAATGGGATTAAAGCCTGACGAATGAGATAGAAGCTTGGTGTTTTCCAAAGCAACCTAGTGTTTTTATCCCCAAAATGATCATTTCTGATATCTTGGACACATCGAAAATTAACTAGGAATAGAAAATGCTATGATACCAAACACAGGTAAGCTTTGGGGTTGACGGACAGGATTCTATAGTCTTTAATGCTAATTTATAATTGCAAAATAGAAATAAATTCTACATCAGGCTTTGTAAATATTTTAAAACACAATTCAGTCACCGTCTTCCCCAACCTGAAAAAAATACATTAATGCCATCTGACTTCTTTGATTTCTACCTGAGAAATAAACTCAGGCAGAGACACAAAGACTCTGTTAAGTATCTACTTCTAGTTTTTCTCTTGAAAGGCAAAATTGTAAAGATTTATCCTACGTTATTTCCACTTATGACAATGTCCTTTTTGTCTCTTCATGTAACTATCACAGCTTGATTAATATAAAGAAAAATAATCTGGAAAATTACGAAATACTAACAACTTCTTTCTTTTAGGTCAGCATATGTAAAGGAAGAGATGAGCTTTTTATTACAGCTGCATATACATTCTATAATTATGGAGCTGCAGGATAAAGCAATTTTGGGAACTGAAAATTCAACTACTATTTCATTCATAGTTACTATCATTTATTTGCTTAATCTTATTCTCCTCCCTTTAAGTTGTATTTAAAAAGAACATTTACTAATTAAATTTACATTTGCATTATTCTAGTTTTCTATAACAGGGTATATTTGTTTTTATATATTTTGCTCATGCTAGATGATATTGATTTACAAATTTAGCTGGGCATCTGGGTGTCTGGGGACAGAAATATGGGAAGGTATTGGTGGGGATTATACCTTCAATGTAATGTGGTGAACATTAGCCCACCGAGGGCTATGAGCTTAAATAATGTCCTTTATGATGATAAAAGCTGAAAAGTATTAAATTCTATCATGACAAAAATATTGATCTAAGATATCCAAACATAGCACAAATCACTAATCTATAAATAATGTTCTTTAAAAAAGGGAGTAAAAACAACAAAAAACAATTGGGCCATTTCTTAGAAGGTAATAGTAGTAGGATATAGCTTCACTAAGACATACATCAAAATATCTCAAATTAAATATGAATGCCATATATTTGTTTGTGGTTTGTATTATTTCATGAAAGGCAGAGTCTGGAAATACATCAAAGTAGTCATGTAGAAAGACTCCTGGCTTAACATGTTCTGAATTTCATAGGTTTTGATAATTAATAAAGAGGCTGATAAAAATTTGAGCTACATTTTAAATGTAGCTCATATTAAATATTTTAGGTAAAGACTCAAAACATTATAGCCAAGTAAAATTTTAGAGATTCTTCAGAGAAGTTCTTTGAGGCATTAAATTACTCAGTGGTAATCACAAGTAACATTAGGATCATAATAATAAGCTATAGTTCGAAGGAACATAATACGCTATAAAACAAACTATTATTTAATAAATGGTAATTCTTTTGAAAATACGTTAGCATTAAAATATAGAAATTAGCTCATAGATATTTTTCTAAAACACTTTTAAAGAAGAAATTGAAAACCTTGTAATTATTACTAAATTTCTTAGTAACATCCAACTTGGAAGCTTCGTGGAAGAAATCTGTTTTCGAAATTTTCCAAATTCAAAACTAATACTGTTTCAAGATCAGTTTTGTGAACTGGTTGCAAAAGGCTTCAAAATATCTGTAGCTTTGTGTGGCCATACAATGTAACAAAGCACTAAGTGTGATCATCACTTTCTAATTTATTAAGAGAGATTATTCACTTCATGGAGCTTTAAAGTATGATTTTAAGCAAAAATGCTGTAAAATGGGGTAGAAATGTAACAATTATTTAACAGGAAATGAATATTATCAAGACCATGTTTAAGGCTCAATAAAACTCAGGTAAAATGCAAAAAAATCCTTTTTCCTAAAAATTTTCAGGTGGGCTGGAATAGAACCTTCAGTTTGGTTTATTAAAAACCTGACGGTTAACAGGCTACTTAAATGCTTCCGAAGTATCTTCCTTAAACACTGAGAGGCAAGAAGACTATTTCGAGACTAAGTTTACCTGGCTTGGCTTTTTGGCCTTTCATCTCTTGCATCTCTTCTACTTAGAGTATAAATCATAAAGCCTCCTTATCTGGTCATTAACCTTCCAATCACATTCTAAGACAGCATACCTTGACAAGCTCTGAAAAAAAGACAGTTGATTCCAGTAGTAGTCTAGACGTCCCATGTAAGAGAATGGCTCATCTCCCCTGGGACATTTGCCCAGAAACATGATATCACATATGCACACTTTCCCACCCAAGTGGTCTGGCACTAACTGATTGATTATCTTATAAGTTCACTTATCACCAATCCACTCAACCTCTTGACTCTTGGGTTTACCCAGTGGGCCAAATGTGCCTCTGGAGTTCTAAAGTCTACATAGGTATGAAGAAAACATAAACTACAATTTAGAATGTGAAAACAGCAGCTCTGCATTTCCAGGTCGCCCTGTCTCTTCCGTCTCATTTCATCTTTTACCTTGGATATCATTACATTAATATTAAACATATGCATACTCTACCAGGGGGTTGAGTAAATTAAGAAAGGCAGTTAATTCCTAATGTGAGACATCTGCCTTCGAGGAAGGCGACACGGCATCCTGAAGCTAATGAAGGATATTGCCTCAGCAGCGCCTGGCACAAGTCATCAGTTGTCATGAAGACGGTGTACGTGAGAAGGAAGTCATCAAGGAGGGTCTCTGCAAAGAAAGGAAAACAAAACTAGGTAAGCAAAGCCGTGGTAAGGTAAGAAGGGCAACTTCAGAATAAATAGTGTGCATGGCAGAGATATGATAAATGGTAGTGGGAGTGGGAGGGGCCAGGTAAGAGAACTTTAACCACAAAATACATTATTTATTACATTTAAAAAATTTAAAACTCCTCAAACAACAAGATTTTTTTTTTTTTTTTTTTTATTGCAAGACTCTTAACATACAACTTTTGTCATCCTTTCCTCTCCTAAAACATCATTGTATTTGTTGGTCAAGATGTTGTGGAAAACCAATGCATAAATCACGTGCTTTTAGAAATAAATTTTATAAGATTACCGAGACACACACTCCAGTCCTACAGAGAACAAGCCTGCACGTTCTAATAAATTAAGGCTTTCTAAAGCCATTTACCTAAGTCTAAGATAAGAACTATGGATAATAAAACTCAGAGGACACATATCAGGTTCCAAGGCCATTCACCTTTATCTCTCAAATGTATCTGTAAGAAGTTGGGAGAGTGGTGAGTGATTTTCTTATTGCCGTGAAGAGAGACAGAGCAAAGTCCAGTCAAAAACAGAGAGCAGGTATAACACATCGCACCATGCTCCTTCCATAATTTCTCTTCTGCCTCTTGAACCAACAAGAACAGGTTCCATTTTCATTGCCTCTTTGTCTTGAGTAAGTGTTCCTGGAAAAGTCCAGGTTACGCATAATATGAATTGCTAAACTGGCAAATGCTGACCTCAGATGTAATCTCCAAATTAAAAATAAAGATTATATGCTGAATACAAATTAGAGTTTTTGCCATTAATAGTGCTTATCTAATCTCCTTCACTTGAAATTCATTTTACTATATAATTTAATTTTCATATCTGTTACATTCTGAACATTAAATTTTTAGTTACTTGAAATAGTAATAAATTATAAGATAGCGAGATTGTATACTCAGTAGCATTTATGCTCTCCAAAACCTACACACTATAAATGTGTAAGCAGAAAGAACTGACCAGTATAGAACTCTGCAGCTACATGTTGAAGATGAGGAAAATTCCAGAATTTTTAGAAATAACAAGTAACATTTACTTTAAAACTTGATCAATGAGAAACAACAAGGCTATGTTTATGAACACAAATCTCTGATAAAAGAGGTTGTGGATGCCATCTACAGTCCTATGTCAGCTGCAGCAGTTAATTTTCTTCTATCGTTTTATGTTGAAGAATGTCAAGATAATCCTGATCATGTAGGTAAGCGGCTGCAAATGGTAACGTTTAACGACAACAACAAAAAGAAGGGTAGTAAGGGACTTTTCCCCCAAAGATATTTATTTATTTAACAATAGTCCTTCTTAAAAAAAAAAATTTGACCAATGGCACTTAAAATGTAAAATAAGCCTAAACTTATAATGTCGTATCTTATGGCAATATGCGAACGGTCACTGGTCTAACTCACTATCCTCTAAGGCAAAAGCAAGTTCTCAAACAGATGAGTGTGGGCCTTGCTGGGCACAACTTGAGTCCAGTACAAGAAACTGGTGGGAATGTGGCTGGTTGGACAATTTAATGCGAGTGGACATGCACGCCCTGCATTCATAGAAGACCTAGACAGCTCTCTACAAGACTATTTATAAAGGCTTCAAATCTATGCATGAAAAGGCAGGAGAAGCTTTATTCTAAGATCTGCCCCCAAACTAAGTTAATCTGGAAGCACGAATTTATCATTGGTCATCCTGATGAAAAATCTGGAATACACATTTGAAACTTGTATGTCTTTCATTACAGGTTTTTTAATTGTGAAACTGAAGTCAAACAATGGCATAACGTCCAAATTTCTAGGATATTTTGGAATGTAATTTGAAACTGTCACTCTGGGATGCTACCAAATAGTAATGTTCACAAACTGTAGCATTTTTCTCTATTAAACTGATAAAAATCCTCAACTTCTATGGTCTGAGTAGAAATTGAGTCTTTTTTTATTTTTATTTTTTGCACTCAACGTTAGATATGGGCAGCAAGGACCACAGAGTAGCTTAGAATTCATTTTAGGGTTTTCAATGGACCCATATAAATTGGAGCCAACAATACTCAGAAACCACTCGGTGACAATGCTGAGAACCTTATACATTCAGCATTTAAAATGCTTGATGTGACATTCAGGTTCATACTCTTTGAGATGTTCTTACACTCAGCTAATTTAATGAGGTTGGAACGATTCTCTAATCAAGATTTACTCCATTAGCAGCTGAGATTAAAAAGACACCATTAACTTTGACATAACCAGTCATTCCGTCCTGGAACAGCCTTAGATAATGAACTGAGTGACGATGAGAGTCTGTTGGTTGGTGGCAAAACAATTTGGCATTCAATTCAATTAATCAGCTCACACACAACAATATTTTGTAAAGGGCTTTGACCCACAAATGGTTATTTCCTCCAAAGCTATTACCATATTTAATATTCAACACATTTACCTAATTATCTCTCTGCCATAGAAGTATTAATTAAATAAGAACAATAAGGCTACATAAAAACATCTCCAGCTAAAATCGTAATGAATTGCTGAAAATCGTAACGAACAGAATAGATTCCCAATACTCCTAACTCAAATCTTTCTCTATTTAACTACCACATTGTTCTGAAAATTTCTATATATAAAGAACTTTCCTTTGTTCTTTCTCAACACTGGTAATTTTTTTTTTTTTTTTTTGCTGCACATGAAAGTAATTGAGTGATATAATCAAAACGACACACTTCAAATAAAAGTGCATTTTATAATAGCCATGTTTCAGAAAAGGCTGTCCCATTGGTATTTAAAGATATTTTTAGAACCACAATGGCTATATAAATGATCCCCTGAAGACTATTAGCCAACAATAGCCATTTAGAAAGACTAGCAAATCCACTGGCATCCCCATTTAAACACTATAATTATCTATTATATTATATGGTGCTTAATTAATAGTAATTTAAGACTAGGCAAAAAAGCACTTTTGTGTATCAAAGCATCTTTCATTTAAACAAATTTGTATTTGCTATATACGCTAACATTCTGAATAAAAAGATGTATTCATTTTGATTTCTAACTCTATGAATACTTAAGTATTAATATACAAAAAACTTTTCTTTGAAATTCTATTCAGTAAATCAATTACTAAATCTAATCCAGAGTTCTTGGTTCATTGCTGACAAAACTATTCAGCCATCCTTTTGGGACTATCCCCCTTCCAAAAGATAAAATAGTATTTTTTTGTAGTGGCTGTTTAGAATACAGGAAGTACTCTTGCAGTACAGAAGTTAACATGCTGATGACAATCAAAATACTCTTACAATTTTAAGGTAAATACTCTTACAATTTTAAGTACTGTGTAACTTGAAATAAAGTATATCAATGTGCAGTCAAAACCTAGAGCTTTGAAAGAAATGGTCCTAAAATTTATGTCTATAACTAGCCATGATGATGTTAATACAGGACTTTTCTCTGTTACTGTTTTAATTTTAAGGCATAAGAACAGAATTGCCTATTTTTATTTGATTTTATTTGAACGTATTTTTCTTTTACATATAAATTATTTTTTCGGTCTCATTTTAAGTGTATGAAGCACTAAAAATTTCCATGATATTTCTGCAAAACACAAGTGTTTCTAGAGCAACCTAGAGTTGTGTCAAGGTGGAATAGTACAGATCCTTTTTATAGGGTTCTGTTATGTAAATGTAATCAAATTAGAGGAACTAATCTAAATGTTTCCAAAAGGCTTAAGCTTAATGCTTATTATTTTTTTTGTAAAAAAGAAAAAACAAAAATATAAAAACAAACCCTGAAGTCTAGAAATCATTAGAAGTATAGGGTTACTCAGGAACAACTAGAATAATCTACTTCAGTTATTTTTCTACAAACACATAAGCAAAATGCATTGCAATAATGAAACCACTCATCTGTTAAAGTGAATTACCAAGAAAGCAAATGAAAAGAATTTTGACAGACAACTGCCTACAGCAGCCATTTAATCTAAGTATGGTAATGTGAATATTCAACATTTCTGTACTAACTCATATTCCCTAAAGTACTGTTAGCGGTTTTGTTTCACCTGTCTTTCTGCCTCAGAGGCAATGGAATTTAAGGCACTCTGAAATATGTTCTACTTAACCTTTATTTCAAGGAGCCAAGAAAAGCTTTGTACTTGAAAAGGCTACTTCTGGCCCTGGAAGGTTGCAACTTACCATATTTTTTTGAGAAGCAGTGCCAAAGCGTACCATGTAATTTGATTTAGCGCACACACGCACACACAAAATTTTAATGTTCATGTTTGTAAAATAAGTTAAAGTGCTATGCTATTAAATGCTATGCTTCTTTCTCAGTGTATTTTATATTTCTGAAAGCAGTATTGACCTCAAATGCAGCTGTTTTCCAGAGCTTTTACATTCACTCGATTTCTGCATATATTTACAGTTTTACCAGAGTATCGCTTAGCCTTTCTAAAACTACCAAACCTTGAGATCGACTTTTCTTTTTTGATATTTGGTTTCACAAGAAATGCTTATTCATTTAATGCTGTTTCCATACTAAACCTTAAATGACAGGGACTTAACTGTAGATAAGGCTTGAGAGGCACTAAATAATGAAATTCATTTTGACTTTAACTCGTAAAACCTGATTTTGGAATCCCACCAGTCTTCCCTTAGGAAAGGATGATCTGAATACAGCAGCTATGTTCTCAGCCACGTTACATTCCGCATGCTGCCTTTTCAAAATGTCACTAGAAGGAGCATGGAGTGATAAACACAGTGCTTGCCTACCTTCTCCACACAAAGGGTCAGGTTTGCAGGTCACCCTGAGATTGAGAGAGGTGACAGGCCCCATGAGCTTCTGTTGTCCCGCCCCCACTCAGCTGCTCTGAGTCTAGGGACAATTATAACCCATTTGTGACTTGTTCATGCACCTGCCAAGCCTGATGGGAAGCTCAAAAAAGTGTGAAAAATGCAAAGAGAATCAG